GTGTGTGTGTGTGTGTGTGTGTGTGTGTGTGTGTGTGTGTGTGTGTGACTAAACACTTGGGTTTTCTCTTATAGATGATCAAAGAAATGTCTGTCACTAATAAAGGACAAATACCAGATATGGGGGATCTTAGTGATGTAAGTGCAGATGGTAGTTTGAGAGGTTACTATTAAAATTGAATATGGATTATTTCTATTTGATCATTTAAATTGTGATATCGACCACTTTCTTCCTTCTTCTTTTGCAGTCTGACTGAGACTCACAGTGCCCTCTCTCCGCTGCTGGAGGCCACTACAACTCTATATGATATTGACGACAGTACTATGTTTGCTAAAGTTTGTAATATTTGCAGATGATTTGAAATGTTGTTGTCAAAATACTGTTCTTATATGTGATATTTTCTATGGAATTACTTATTGACATGTTATTTTCCACTGTTGCTGATGTATCGTTTTAATCAATAAAAAAAAAGGTTTAGCAACCAGGGTTTGAAAGTCATGACATGTTGCACATGGGGTAACACATTTTATGTTAATGTGATTTTACCAGTAAATTACAGGCTTTATACTGGATTATGGGGATGGGCATGGATGAACATGGTTGTTTGTTTCACTAACTCCAGAAGATGACAGTAAATCACCAAAAAATACGCCAGCTTCATTCATTATTTCATTTTTGGTACAGCAGTATATACACCGGCAACATAGACATGGACAGAAAAGAAAAAGTATAAAGTGCATTTTGCAAAGAAATTGAAAAAGCAGCAAGATTTGTTTTTCATACATACTGTGTGTTTTATGTATTGTTTTATTTCATTCTATCAACATGCTTATATGTCAGCAGAAGATTAGTCTTCTATGTAACCATTGGTAATAGGCAATGATGTGCAGGTTTTAGCTTATGCTTTAGCTACAAACCTATATCATATCTGTCTAGTGCATTTTATTATTAACTTATTATGTATGTACAATGACAACATGACCCACATGTCCTTAATGTTTCACCGGCAAAACTAAATTATACTCGGGGATTTAAATTTTAAAAACTAAGTTAAAAATGTCTTTTTACTACGCTTGTATATGAGGTTTTAAAAGCTGTCAATAAAAAGGAAACAAGTCGAAGCCAGCCAAGTCCAGTCTAGCCAAGTTTGGGCTACGTTGCTTGCCGTAGTAAGCTGAGTCAGTTTGACTTGTTTAATTCATGTGTCAGGTAGACTTTTTCCTCAAAAATACCCCAGAATGGCGTTTCAGTGTCAACGAGACTGCTATATGAGAGAGGTATGAAGCAGTATCAGCGCTGCACTTTTTAATAGCTTGCGAAAACACCGAATTTACCATTCGGTCTCTGCTGAAATGATTAGCATGGCTGCTAACTACAGTGGGAGCGCAGTCTATGGGAAGCACGAGCTAGTTACCCACTAACTCACGTTACTATTACATTTGTTTTAGGGCATTGCACGTTTGGTATCTGTTGAAATGTATAATGTAACATAAAAACGTCAGAGCAGCCCAATGTGTATTTAAAGCTAGCCACTCGCATACATTAAACCCACTGTCAAAATGTAACGTTAGGATTTTCACATTTAATGTTTTACGTAATACTGTTCACAGTATCTCGCGGTTAAATGACCTCACTAAAGGTTTATATGAGACTGAAATCCCACACCAGTCCAACCGTTGCGTGCCAGTCTCCCCCTCCCCCTGTACGCTGTTTACATGTCCTCGTTGTTTTCCTGTCAGTTTGTTACCTCTGTGGTGTCCTGCTGCCCAGCTGAGCTCAAACATGAAGTCAGTGGAAAGAAAGAAACTCTGAAGGGCTTCAATGTAAAGCTCCAAGACACCATCTTGTTCCCCGAAGGAGGCGGCCAAGTAAGCTGTTTTTTTGTAAATCATAAGAATTCACTGCATGTGTAGATGCATCTTCTCGTGACTCATTTGGGAGTCGTTTGTGTCAGAAGTATTATAAAGTAATCAAAAAGCCACACTACATGATGTTACTCTCATAATTTTCAAGCTTTGTGTTGTCCTCCTTCAGCCAGATGACCACGGGCTGATTGGAGATGTCCCCGTGTTGAGGGTGACGAGGCAGGGAGCTGACGCCGTACACTTTGTGGGCTCACCTCTGGAGGTGGGCCAGGAGGTGCAGGTGAAGGTGGACTGGGAGAGGAGGTTTGACCACATGCAGCAACACTCAGGTGAGCGTCTCAGCGAAACAGGTCAGGGACTGTTGTATCATACGTCGTTATAACACACTTACTCTAAGCTGCAATTGTTGTCTTCCTGTTTCTTAGGTCAACATTTGATCACAGCGTTGGCAGATAACTTTTTTGGATACAAGACCACATCCTGGTACATTACCACTGCACTGCGCCATTTCCCTGTTAGCATAAAAACTCGTAGGTTTACCTCTCTTCTCTGGTTTTCTTTTGTTTCTCAGGGAACTGGGGCGTCAGAGAAGCACTATTGAACTGGACACTCCCTCTGTGAAGCCGGCCCAGCTCCAGGCTCTGGAGGAAGCCGTAAACGAAAAGATCAGAGTCCATGTCCCTGTCACCGTCCAGCTCCTCTCTATAGACGATCCTGCTGTGGAAAAGGTGCATTTACTGGTGCTAAAGTACAGGCCTCTTACTGTGCGATCAATTCAAGTTCTAGATATTGTTTCGGCACACATCTTCTTTTGAATGTACTACATCTATTGTAAGATTTTACATCTTCAGTTAGTCACATGAGTTGTGTGTGTGTGTACCAGGTGAGGAGTCGAGGGCTGCCAGACGACCATGCAGGGCCGATACGGATCATTGATATCGAGGGCGTCGATGCAAACATGTGCTGTGGGACCCATGTGTCTAACCTCAGTCACTTACAGGTTCAACTTCACACACACGCATGCAGATACACAAGCAGTTACTTGTGCCATATACAATACTTAACATGTATTAATGTGTCATATTTGTAACATTTCTCTTGATCTGAATTTTAGGTTATAAAGCTACTGGGAACTGAGAAAGGAAAGAAAAACAAAACCAACCTGATCTTCCTGGCAGGAAACAGGGTTTTGAAGTATGCTGAGAAAAGCTACAGCACAGAGCGATCGATGGTGTCTCTCCTGAAGTAAGTCTGAGTCGTCAGAATATCACCGATGCAAGTTCGTCATTCTTTGAGTTTTAAGTGGGGGGGGGAAAAATCCTCAACTTTGTTCAACAGAACTGGACCCGATGAGCACGTTGAGGCTGTTGACAAGTTGCAGAAGTCTGTTAAACTACTACAAAAAGTAAGAACATTTCATCAGTGATTTCTTTCTTTAGATGACGAGCACTGTGTCACATGTTTGCTGCTGCAGAACAAACTGCACAGACTCTAACTATCATAAACATGTCTTGGGCAGACTAACCTGAGCCTGCTACGAGACATGGCTGTTCTAGTCACTCAGAACTTTAAGAACGACCCCCAGAGAGGCAACTTCTTCAGCTTGCACAAGTAAGAGACTCTTCTTCAAAGTACATCAATATAAGTATTTCAGAAACAAAATGTCTCTTTCTACAGGAAAGAGGGCGACAATGAGTTCATGAATATCATTGCCACTGAACTAAACACTGAGGTAAGTGTAAAACCTGACTGCTTACTACTTGGTATTAGCTGTTAAATGTTTTTGTGAAGCCTCATTCCGTGTGCTCTTAGGAAACTTTGGTTTTCCTCACTGTTGGAGAGGAGAAGGGACCGGGTTTGTTTCTACTGTCCGGACCCAGTGGACAAGTGGCTGAGATGGGACCGCGGTAAGAGAGAGACACACCACCACATTTATTTAGCCTCTGCTTTCATGTAGGTTGGTACGATATGAAGTCTCTGTGCTCCCCAGGGTGTTGGAGATGCTCCAAGGGAAGGGGGCAGGGAAAAACGGACGTTTCCAAGGAAAAGCGAACAGCCTGGCTCGAAGAGGGGAGGTGGAGGCTTTCCTGCAGCAGCACTGCAAACATCACACCTCAGAGGAAGAATAAACGTGGCAATGGTTCAATATTTCTTTAGAGAAACTATACATTTAGAAGGCAAGAAGGATCGCTTACCTGGTTGTGAAAGGTATTATTTTGTTGCAAAGACTAAATGTGTGAAATACTCGATCATTTCTGTGATAATGTATGTAACTGGGACTCCTGTACAACATGTGCTGTACATATGTCATGTGCAGTTTTTATTCATTTAAAACTCATCTGTTAAACCTTGTTTTCAGTCTTCATTTCCATTTGTTTTTTTGCTTACGGGTTCAATTTAGACGCAGATAATTAAAAAAAGATGAATCCTGCTGCTCATATTGTTCAGCTGTTTTAGACAATGGACACCACCACCAGTTGAATCATTTTTAAATATTTTTAATTCCAAAGACTTGTGGAAATGTAATATACAAGTGTCAGACACACTAAACATGACTGTTGGTAGCGGAAGACTTAATTTGTTTTTGGCACGATTATTTTTGAATGACCAGAAAACTAGAAACCCTTGAACATTTTAATGCAACAGTCCCGTAATAAATACTACCTTGGTGAAACTTTTATAATAATCAATCACCTAATTTACATTCAGAATGCCAAAATAGAAACATTACATTAATGTGCAATCCAATACAACATAACTACTAAATGCAGCCTCAAAAATCCCCCAAGAGCTGAATTTCTTGCACACACACCATCAAATAAACACGATAAGAGTTGACAAGACGGTTGTAATTAAACCGTACAGGGAGTTCTAGTTCCTCATCTGTTTTTGATAAAAAGCAGTGGTTTGGAAACAAATCACAAATGTATTGCTCACGAGTCAGTCACAGTTTAGCAGTGTAGAGAAAGTGCTCATGGTAAAATATGATAATATAGTGCACTTGTGCAAGCACCCCCTTCCCATTTAGACCTTTATAAAATACTATAGGCAGTAAAAAACAAAAAGATGGAGATTGTTTGGCAGTAGTTGTGCCCAGTTAGTGTGATCATCCTCTAGACATTCCTTTCCAGTTCCACTGCTCCGGGTTATTGAAATGGTTTCACGATCTTCATCGAGATGTAGTTCTGGAAAAGGAAAAAGAGAATGTAATTATTGCTTCACTTCATCATCACCTGCCACATAATGAACATTTGTGCGTATTTGGAACCACTGCATGCACTTTCGAGTTATACCAGCCAAACTCAAACCAAAGGAAGTCAGAATAGTATCTCTCGGCGGTCCTTACCGGTAAAGAGTACAACATGATGGCGAAGAAGAGCCCCACTATGGTGAGGAAGACGAGTCCGATGAAGAGCCACCTGAACCTTCTCCACACAATGAACTTCATGGTCTTACATGGGTTGGTGAACCAAAAGAAGGATGTTTCTGGACGACTGAGGGTTGTGGAAAATGAAAGACAGGGTGTATTTGTTTATATTACTCGCAAAACTACGTTTTTCTTATTTTAACTAGCAGGTGAGACACATTAATGGGATACATTTTGTAGAGGTTCAATCTACAGAATATTAAATACAGTTTGTTTCACAGGCTGGGTTCTTACTTGGGAGGGTCCAGTTTTGGGTTCATGTTGGGATCGTCCCGGCCTTTTCCTGCAGGTCTCTCATCCGAGTCTGCTTCACCTACAATCTCCAGCGTCATCTCCACTTTACCCTGTAAGCACAAGATGAGCCGACATGGTGAGCAACACACTGGATAACAACGTAATGACCGTAAGGATCTCTGACACTTTCAGAATATTAAAATGAAGCAGAATCTATTCATCAGACTTATGCAGGTAACTATAAACTTTTCAGTACTTTTTTAGAAGTAGGAGAACATGAAATTGTTAAAACTGAAGCGGGGCAATATCCTTATTTCAGAAAAGACAATAGCAGTGTTTCTATGCTGTTCTCATTTTAGATTAAATGAGTGTTAATATGTGGAAACCCATCTGACTAATCGGAACAAAGCTGAGGCGCAGGAGGAGGAATGATGTCATTCCTTTTGTTGGTTTACCTAAAACTGTTTTCTGTCAAGTGTTCTTTACGTCGTTCCTTAATTCCTGCTCAGTCTACTGCTGTGTTTTAACTCATGCTGAGTTGGCTTCCTATCCAATTAATTTGCTCAAGTCAATTTACCTAAAAAGAAAAAAGATAAAAACGCATCCATCCATCTTTGGGTGTACTTCCTATTCATACTTACGCCCAGGACCTTCATTCCATCCTGTTCAATGGAACATGGCCACCAGCCTCTGACTGACTGCTGAGCAAACAGAGACTTGGCTTGCACTGGTTTGTCTGGAGTTCCTATTTCCACATCATCCATCATCTCCAGAGAGCACTTCTCTGGGGTCTTCGCAGGAGGAACCAGGTTACGCAGATCCAGCTCCAGAGTGCCTGGGACCACAGAGTATTATACCATGAACGACCAGGGTTTGTAATTGGCTGAAGGTAAATCAGACACTTCATTTAGAGTTAAACAAAGAAAGCTTTTTTTTTTTGTAGTGTCTCACCGAGGTAATCGTCCAGTGAGAATTTGTCATTATCCCATATCTGGACAATAAACTTGGGGGGAATCCTGAACTCTGTTTTGTCAAGACTCCAGAATTGCTCCTGTTGGATAAAGAACACGGGGAAACATGTTTTAGATTCGCCATTTCAACAACGCAGGCTTTATTTTCAAATTTGTACATGAGTAAAATGGTCCTTGTTTTATTTTAAACCAATTGTTTGATAATCCAGACAAGCCTCACCTTCTTGGAAACCAGGCAGAGTTGTTCAGCTGGCAGGTACTCAAAGTCAAAGACGAACCTCCAGTTAAAGTTGCCGTCTCCGTCCAGAGACCTGTAGTGGACGTCGGTCTTCTGCTTGTTCTCCTCCATGCCTGGCATCCAGCTGGCAAAGGGGACAACAGGTGACAGCTTTCATTGTCCTGTGCCAACTGGTTCCACGGTAATCTTCTACTATACAAGTTTGCTTTTAAAGAATCAAATCAAATCAATCTAAATCAGTTAAAATAGGATTTTAGAAATGATTGCCGATGGGAAAAAGCATTAAAGGGCAAGACAAAAAAAAAAAAAAAAAGACACACACACTAATATATATACATACTGAAGTTAATTTGAATGATTTATCAGCAATACCCTTTGACATAGACGTCACTCATTTCTTCTCCTGTGATGCTGGTCTCATCTAAAGTCACGTCTGTGGTGTTCCAGATGACAGCACGCAGGAAATAACTGACAATTCAAAAACAGCAGGCATTAACTCAGTGACCTCTAATGTTAGCATTGACTCACACGAAGAGCGGCACAGCACTCACTTCTTAGCCTTGCGTGGCGCGATGTCAAAAGGAGGTCCAGGGACTCCGATGCTTTTGGGGAAAACATCCACCCACATCTGAAGCTGTCCCTAAATGAACACATTATAAAGGTTTTACTAAATGGCTGCGTCAGGGTGGATGTGGACAGATACAACATGTTTGAGCCGTGACATCTAACCTGAGAGATATTGGGCTGGAAGGAGCTGTAAAGGGTCCTGGTCTCCACATGTTCAGGGACAAGTCCCTGTTTTCTGAGAACGTACAGGCAGAGGCGTTCTCGGGCCGGACCAAGGTGCTCATGAATTTCCCTGTTCTCTGGTCGTGAAAACAAGTTACAGCTTAATTAGGCTTATGTTATAGCATAATTTGTCAAATTAGATGTGGGAAAAGAATCAGTCAATAATTGAAATGGTTACTATTTTTAGCAAAGCCAGCGGCATGGCTTGAAGGACGGCAATGTGTGTCAGTCGGTCCACCACTTTGATCCAGACAGTACAAAACTCCATGTTGAGTTATTTCAGACATCATCCTAATTCTAACAACCTTGGTGATCCCATGATTTTTCCTTTAGCACAACCATGATGCTTTTAGTGAATATCTCTACAGCTTTGGATACATTTCCAAGAAATTTGGTGTAGACAATCACATACCCACCATCAGACAACATTTTTTAAATACATACTTTAAAGCTTGCCGATATCATATTAGCTTGCAGAATGTTTTTTAAATTAAGTTAAGCCAGTTGGGCCAACCATTATGGGTAATAAAATAAGAGCAAACGACTAAAGAGAATTTGTCGGACAGTTATAAATAAAATCACTGTTACTGATGTTGGATGAATCACACACACTTACACTAATATATCTTAAACTATTGACATTACCAAACTCAGCCAGTGTGTACTCTTTGCCATTGAAGGAGAGTGATGTGCCGTTGTCTTCGGTCTTGGGTTTGGATAGGCCTTTTAGACGAGCCAGGCTCTCCAGGATCTGAGATGGCTTCTGCTGGTCCCGCCACTTGTTGATACCAGAACTGAGACAAAAACAGAAATGAAAGTAAGGATCATGACGGAGGTTTTTTTTTTTTTTTTTTTTTTTAGGAACATTTCCTAGATTTCCCCCGTAAGGCGTTTCCTTACATGCAGTAGGTTTGTGGCAGGCCACAGTAGGAGTTGTATCGGGACAGGAAGCGGTTCTCCAGGTCTATCACGGTCTCGCCGACCTTGTCGTCGCGGGTCAGGAAATCATAATCATAGACAGAGATTTTCAGGTCCTTGTCCTGGGGCAGGAAACACGTCATCTCAAACATCCTACACAAAAAAAAAAGAAAAAAGAAGTGTTTGAGAAGGTTCACGGTATTTACTCTTTAAGGAAAATATGGTCTGTAATATTAACATTCTTTATTGCTTAAATTAGTTCATTCTTAGCGTTTACCTTCCAAACACAGGGCCCGTGGTGTTGGGTAAGTAATTGTCTTGGTCATCAATCGTGTTCTTACCCAGTGACATCTTTACGTATGGATCACACTGAGCAGGAGAGAGAACACAAGTTCAAGGAAAAGGTGATGACTGCTCCAAGTGTGTTAAAACATGCTACTTTTATTCCTGGCATTACAAATTCATTCTCACTCTGCCATTATTGTCTTTGGGCTGCAGGTCTATGGCCCGGACCACATAAATCCTGACCAGACACTCCTGAGGTCCACTCTCTGGCAGCTCTCTGAACTGACGGGGAGGGGGAGCGACACCTGGGTCGTCTGGCAAAGGGTACACCTTGAATGAACCCTGCATGTACAAGAGCACACACACACACAATTCAGATTGTAAGTCTGGCCTTGTCCTGAGCTGAGGAGATTCAGCTCGTTTCACAGCTTTATTTTGGATAGATTCTAGTGTCCTGTTGTCAAACTACCTTGAACTCTCCAACCACAGTGGGGTCCTCGTCCCCACTTTCATTCTTGCCCCGTTGCAGTTTGAAGGTGGTGCAGAAATCAGTCAGCCCTTCGAACTCTGGGACATCCTCAAGCTCGCATTCATACACCTGTGGATACACATACGCATTCAGGTCATCTACAACACTTAGTGGGGATTACAGACAAGACATGCAACAAACAAGTGAAGAAACACTATAAAGTCTGTCGTGTGTACGAAGAAACTAAGCCAACTTACTTTGAGGGTGTCGTATCCTTTTTTGAGGTAAGGGCCGCACTTCTGATGGTCTCCAGTTGAAGCGTAGAATTTACTCCACCAATCGACTGTCTCTTTTTCCTGAATATTGAATTGCTCATTGATAAACTACACATATATACACATACACACACACACACATATGCATGCATTTGGTATAATAATCTGAAATCTTATTCATATTCGCTTTACTCTCACCTTCTCGTCAAGCTTTGGAGGACAAAGATGCAATGTGACACAAAACAGAAGTCAAAAGTACATACACATACAGCAGTAACAAATAAACAAACACATATATACATATAGTACATACAATACGCTACACAAATTGACAAGAAAGTCAAACAGTGAAGGAAAGATTGATAAGGAGATCCCGATTGCAATTTCACGATTGACAGCAATCTGGAAAACAAGGGCGTAACAAAGGGGCTGTGCCGAATTTGCCACTGCTTTAAGGCTCCGGGCCTCTAGAGGGCTCACTAACACCACCCGTGCCTTGACTTACAACATGGCACCAGGAGTTTAATTCATTATCCATGCCTGCCATGAGTGGGACCTGCCTTTGAGTCAAGTATATTATAATAATAATGTAATAGGCTTATTTGCCAGGAGTTCAATGTAAAGATTGATACTTTATTACATTATGTTTGTATTCTAAATGCAGCCAGCAGCTGCTTAAATTAGCTTTGCATTAAGACTGGAAACGGGAGTACATGGCATCATCTCTAAAGCTCACTAATTAACAAGTTGCATCTTGTTTGATAAATTCATATTACAACCAAAGCGTAAGATCTAAATTGATTTAACACATTAAACTAGTGAGCTTTAAAAAAAACAATACTATGAACTATTTCCTGTCTTTATGCTAAGCTAATAAACTGCTGGCGGTAGGCTCATATTTAGCGTACCAACATCAGAGATTTATCAATCTTCTCTTTTAACTCTTGGCAGGAAGTTAAATAAGCACATTTCTCAAAATGTCTAACTTTTGCTTTGAGTAAAATATTGGAAACTGTTCTTCTAGAAACATCTACTTCCATGCAAAATAGATGCCTGGAAGCCTAATCTGCTTCAGGGCCCAGTTACATGTTGCACCCTTGCTGTGGAAAAAAAAAGTGTTCAAATGTGCTCATTAAAATAGTGGCAAATTAAGTCGAATCCTGATTATTGTGACGTTACTGTGCGGCCCTTATCGAGCCTGCCGTAGCGCTGTGGATTAAGTGATCTCAGCCTTCCAGTGTCATTGGTGCCCAGCCGTGTGGATTAGAAAGCTCTAATAAGTAACCATACATACAAAGTGGGAGGTAGGGGAGGCCATTTTGTTGAGAGCAGCTGACATGCTGTACATGAACTGTAAGCCAGAGTAATCAAGCTTGTCAAATTTGACTAGAGTGCCAAATTGTGCACTTCTTAGTGACATGAGGAAAAAATAATTATTGGTAACTAGTTCCGGACAGCATGAGAAAAATATGTTATCGTTATGTGTTGGATGGAGTTTACCTGAGTTTCTAGCAGTGGTCTCGTCTCCTCCATGTTAATAGAGAGATGTTTGGAAGGAGAAGCCATCATAGCCACTGTAAAAAGTGAGAGGACAACATCAGAACAAGGCTGTCTGTCTCAATTGAATAAGACTCATTTGTATTACTTTGTATGACTCCTTACTTTTGGAAGACATGGCCCCCTCTGCAGTGATGATATATGGGTCACATTTGAACTGCTCCAGAGTGGTGATGGTGCATTGACCCACCACAGGCTTCCTGCCAAATGGACGGTGGTCAATCACCTTCAGAACAATGGGAGGTATGTACATCTCCTCCTTTGGAAGGAGCTGCATGGATGGTGTAGAGCAGGTGTGAAGGAAAAAAAATGTGAGTTTACAGTATTGTTTAGCTCCAATCCTCTGAGGTTTTTTTCCCCAGATTCTAGTGCAGAAGATGTAAACATAGTTAATCATAATGTTTCTATTGATTTTGGTAGACATTATGTCTCCTCTACAATAGCTTTAAACTCCCAGACAAGCGTTTGCTTTAGTTCCACACACCCCTGCTGGTGTTACCCTGCTATTACCACTTTGATGAAGAGGACAGAGCTGGGGAAGTTGGGGCCCTTCTTCATGTTCTTGATGACAGCCGACTCCACCCTCTGCCCCCCACACTCCACCACCAGGCTGGGTGAAGACACCGAGGCCAGCTGGTACGGCTTCATGTTCCTCAGGCCCCATGCAAGAATCTGAACACACACACACACACACACACACACAGAGAGGTGATGGTAGAGACATTATGTATATCAGCTCAGAGGGACGGTGTCTAAAAGTTGTGTTACCTCCACAGCAGTGAGCTGCACCATAGGCCGGATGCCGTGAGGAACCATGTAGAGGTTCTCTGATTTCTTTGGGGGAAACAGGGGAAGATCTAACTCGCCCGACTACAAAGAGAGACAGGAGAGTATGGATTATGCTGATTATTTTTGTTTTTACCAGTACCTTTTCATTAATTCACACTCTAAAATATAAAACTACAAGCCTCAATAACATGGCAGTGTTTTAAATACTGTAAAGTAGCCATTTCTCTTTTACTTTCAGGACAAACCTCATCTTTAAGGATGAGTTCTGCCGCCAGCAGTGCCTCCCCCGCCTTTTGACCTTTCTGGATGATGGGGTACCACAGCAGTTTGGGTGTCTGATCCATGCCTGGATTCAACTTCACCAGTGGTGCGCAAACACTGCGGCCCAGCATCTCATCCTTCCCCTGTGCAAAAGATAACATCATGAACATTACAGTTTCAGTGTAGGAAAGGTGGCCATTACTATAAGAAAGAAGAAAACATAAAAGAAAGACATCTATTGATTTGTGAAGGCAGTTCCCACCATAAAAGTCTAATTTGAATATCAAGGTTCAATAGACATTTTCTGCTTGAGATATTTTAGCTCAAATAATTTCATTCATGGTTCCCAAAGTTTTTCCCGATAGCAATTATATGCAATAATCCCCAGTTGAATGTACTATAGATCACATCTTTAAGTACTGACACCCCGCATATTTAGTTGTACAAATGCTTCTCTATGTACCACTTGGTCATTGTCGTAGAACTCCAGAACAACATCAGGGGGGCGCTGAGCAACAGTCTTGGGGTCTCCAAAAATCTCCACATCACTAAAGATCAGAGTTTGGTCCCAGGTTGGGTTCAGTGTTGCCCGCAGCTTCTCTGTTGTCTTACTAACATGCAGGAAGGAGACGTGTGCATACGGATCTGCAAAGGAGAAAACATACATGGTTTAATGGTCATCTTTTCACATCCACCATTAACAGACATTTATGCAATGAGACTCATCTCATTTTATATCTAAAATCTATCAGGAGTCTTAATACCGATATTAGAAACTAATCATTTAAATCATATTATTGACCGTTGAGTAGAATCTTACCAGAAAAGCTATCTTTGTCCATAGATGCCAAGTTCTGTGCCTGATAGACGTAGACACGCAGATGGTACATATGTGACTCTATGTAGACAAAAAAAAGTATTATTTATGTATATTCATTGGTACGTGCATGAGCATTCATAAGTGTCACTATATGCATCACTCACTGTCAAAGGAGCAGGACACAGTGGGCGTGTTGGCACCAAACAGCTTGGTGGCATCGGCCTTTGATCCTTTCTCCTTCTCGTCAGTATCAATACCCTGCAGATTAAACCAAAGTGGACATCTCAGAACCCGTTTATGCGTCACACACTGCCAAATAAAAAGCACCACCATGGCACTGTAGATGTGTTTAATACATAAGTAAATATTTGGTGACTCAACGAGCTCAGATCCGGCTCATGCTTTAATACCGACTCATATGTGGACGGATAGTTCTGTGTTACATTGTAACTATATGAGCCACAAACTCTTTATGAAACCAGATCCTGACCCAAACAAGCAGCTACAAACAGAACATTTTCTCTTCTTTACTCACCAGTGCCCCCTCCAGTTGGAAGATGGCGGATGCTCCAAGCCGTTCCTCTGGTGCCATCTTTCGCCTATAGCGCCGGCGACGGAAAGTATCTGATAAACGCTCTTTCCTGTGGAACTTCCAGCCAATCAGAGACGCGAATTCCCAGCCCTCAGGGTCCCCTTGGTCCTCCCTCTGTGACCAAAGATAAACAAGTAGCTAAAACGTTTTTGTTTTAAAAAAAGAAAATCTGAGATTATATGCTGGGAAATAAAGAGACATCTAGATAATCTTTAGCACATAATCACAATTTGTAAAATGAGCTTCCTATACTAAAAAAACAAAAGTATTGACATAAAATGCAAGTTATGTCACAGCGATGCCCCATGACCCTATTCTGACCTCCACAGCGGCTCCTTCAGGGAGTGCAGCTCTCTTGCGAGGTCGATAAAGCCGTCTCCTGCGGTGGACGTGGTACACCTTCTCCGCGGGGACCCAGGACTGCGGCATGTCCTGTGGGGGAATAGTGACTCCATACTCCCAACCTGTGAGGTGCAGACACAGATGCACAAACAATTTTACTTTGTTCCATTACCGTTTGGACACAAGAGCATATGGTTTTCACCATGCAAGTTTTATTTACTATTATTATGACCAAGCAAGGGAGTCAGTGAGTCAGAGCCCTGGGAAACCAGGAGCGAAAACAAAGAACTGTGAACAAGAACAACATTTAGCCATCTGCTGCCTTTCTGAATAAGTACGTATGCCTACAAACAGCCTGAAGAACACTACTCTTTAGATTTTAGCTGGTGATGCAAGTGCCTGCACCTTCATCATCCACAGCTCTGTTGTCATCCACTGTCCACTCGTCCTCCCACATCCAACCTGGAGGACACTCAAACTCTCCAGGGTTGTGGCTCTTCTCTCCATTCTGTGCAACACAAAACCTCAGTTTTCATTTTTGTCATTTATTGTTTTCATGCATTTTGGCCTTCTCATAGAAGAATAGGTCAACAAGATTACTCTCACATCATAGGCATCTGGAGGAAAACTCGGGCGTAAATAATAATGGAACTGCCACCAAAGTCGATGAGTAACTAAGAGAAAGAGTGTCGGTCTGGGTAGTAGTCATGCATGTTTTTTGTGCTGCGTGTGTCAGAGATCAGGAAAAAAATTAACTCGGCTTGTGTGATATTTAAAGCCACCCTGCACATTATTTGCATGTCAGCGCATCTCACCACATCGGTGAATGGCTCGGAGGCGCCCTTCCACTCTCCACCAGGGAAGCGGGTCTCATTTTGATAGACCTCGTCCATGAATTCAGAGTGTCCTGCGTCTGCCTCTGTTGAGTGACTGAAACACAGTCAAACATATGTACCACCTGTGTGAGAAACATTAAAACTAATGGCATAAATACAGCAGTTAGTGCTTGAAAGCTACTCACAGAAATGTACCGATGACGTTGGCATGTAAAACCAAACAATTACACATGGACATTTGAGTCAAGGTTCAAGTGCAGAGGGTTTGGAGATAGATTTAGATTTAAGAAAGTAACTGTACATAACTTCCAGCTCACTGGCACAGTCTGGTACTTTGTCATTAAATCATGGTCTAAAGCATGAGAGGAACGTAAACAGTAGAGAACAGACATCCCCCACTTCCTCTTTTAAGTCCACAGAATGCGTGTTCACTGGAAAGAATGTACATTCAACCTCCATTACATTAAGACAAACACCTTGTGCTTTGTCTTGGTCGAATGTTTTGAATACTAGGAGGAGGAAAGATGCCGTATTGTCATCTACAATTATACTCACGCTCTCTCTGGGTCAACGAACCACTCAGCTTCCCATTCCCATCCCCTTGGAGGCATAAAGTACTGTTGTTTCAGCTTCAGTTTGCCCGTTACATCTGAGAAGTTGTGGCGCCCCACTAGTCCTGTGGTCCCCCAATTCCCAAACACCTGGGCCTGGTTCTCGTACTGAAATGCAAAGGACGACATGTTTAGTTTTAGATGCCGACTTGACTGCTGGTTCTCTCTCTCTGGTATTCAAATTTATTTTCTGGCTTTGCAAATACAGAAAATTACACAATTTTTCTATTGTGAGAGAGAGACGCTATGAACATTATATTTTGGAGCAATGTACCAGCTCAGCAAACACGCTGAAGGTTCCCTCAGAGTAAGAGTTGAACTTCTTCTGATGTGCAGACAGACCCAGCCACATGTTGACTCTAATCTGAACGGGCACCTTCAGGCCCTCGTTCTTGTCCATGGGGTACTGAGGGGAACAAAACAAAAAAATTACATGAGCATTATGACTTCAGAGAAATGAATTCTAGTGTAGTACCTTTTAGTCTAACAGCACCAAACTGCTGACACTAAAAGCTGTTCAGACTACATCTAATAGAACTGATTACTTCATCAATGTTTTTTGACTTTATGCGTGTACCTGTAAAAATACAGTCCGTATCTTGCCACAGTCCTGACCACAGGCCTGCTCGCTGTATGCGGAGTGGAGGACTTGATGAGCGGGAATGCGACTGTAGGCCACCCTCTTCTCACCCCGTAACATCCAGATGATCACATCAGGCATGCTGTTCTGGGGCTGGACAAAACCGTGAGAACAAATGCAGAATTACGGCTGGGCAAAACATTATACTGCTTGGAAACATTATTTTAGGTGCTCCTTTGTCCAGTCTCGCTGTGGTACATACCTCCTCAGCCAGCAGTTTAAGTTTGGCCGCCCAGGACTCCAAGTCAGGCAGAGTGTCACGGATCTCAGTGGCCTCCTCTCTCATGCATCTGGCTCCATCCTTGATGTTGGTCAAAGCGCTGTCTCGCATCTTCTTGATTTGAATGTCCAGAGATGTCAGGTTGGAGCGGCCCTCCAGCTCCGGTGTTGGGAAACTCGAGGAGAGCAGAGACAAAAATGGGACATAAATTGGGGGGAAAAAAAAAAAAAAAAAAAAAAAAAAAAAAAAAGAGGTTATACTAAATAATTAACAAACATTTAACTTCCATGATTTGTTTTTTGGTGAAACTGAACACACTTTCCTTCCGTTTTGTCCGACTCTCTTGGGCTCGTCTGTCTTTTTATTACATTGAAAAGGTGCGCAGACAACACCAGAAATGAACATCACATCCTCCATTTACCTTTCTATGTCTTCAACCAGCTGAGTGAGCAACTTCAGCCACACATCTACAAGTTCGTTGTCAGAGACTTTAGCCAAGATGGAGAGTTTAAATAACTCCAGGTTGGATTGCTGCAACAAACACAAAGTAAGGGTGAGGATTACGCTCCCATCTTAGACCTCTGACTCTCGAGCTCTGACGTTGATACATGTACACACACACGTACCAAACATCAGGAGCCTACAGTATGGTTTAATGGCTGCAAACCCATCAATAAATCATAAACTCAACGCTTTTGTGGATTACGGAGGATAACGCAGTATTACCAGGCGGTGACTAATGTAGAGGATGATGTTGACTGAGTCCAGGCGGTGGGCGATGTCCTCCCAGCATGAGAGAACCACAACCACTGGCTTAGTGTTCACCCAGGGCAGGTAATAGTAGTGGTTACCTGGGAAAAAATGACACCAATTTAAAATCCTCTTGACAAGAAAGCAGGTTTTAATGCCTCTTTACTGCGTGAACAGGTTGAGTATAACATCACACAGTAGCTTCCTCACTCACCATCAAATACAGCATAGCTATACTGAGTGGTGGAAGCCAGTGGTTTGCAGGTGGTGTCCAATGTGTTGCCGTAGTTACCGATGCTGACCTCAAACTGGATTGGCTCTCCTGGTTCCTGTAACATGGAGGCGCTGTGGAAGACTGCACACAGGCTGTACTTCCTCCTCCTCTGGTACTTCTAATGTAGAGGAAGAAAACAGAAATAGAACATATTTCAACCAATTACAATTTACCATCAGGAGGGACAAGTGAAACCACACTGCTGTTAAACGGAACCACACTTGTCAGGTATCACTCGGCAGACAAATAGGCACAATACCTGCACCACCAGGATGTCGTCGCTGTTGATACCGTCTACTGTTTTGTCTGCTTTTCCCTCCAGCTTAGTGGACAGCTCGACCAGGACCCTGCCCCTGTACGCCACGCCTTCTCCCTGCAAAGACATCGATGTGAAGTGTTGAAAAACCAATGAAGGTGATGTAGGACAGGGGTAAAAGTGAGAAGAAACATTCAAAATGTGGATACAATCCTGGAAAAATCAATTCTTCATTACTTTGCCATAATTGAGATCCTGATAGGGGTCTGGCAGGCCGCTGAACTCTCTGGGGCTGCCATACAGGTTGACATAGCAGGGCCCAAAGACGGGCAGGAAACCCACTTCAGACTGCCCTGTGTTAACTGTGGAGATATGGAGATGGACTTAATCTTTTTATGATCAGATTCAAGCTAAGCTATGCAAAGCTTTAATGTTAGTATGCCAGTGTTGTGATATTTGAAGCGGGAGTGATGGACAGGTTTGGGGTTGAAACAGTGAATGCTGGGTAAGCAAGTGGCAGGCACTACAACAACAAAATGGTTAAACACATAAATACTAATACTGATCTCAAAACAGAGCATAGCACAGCTTCATCAGCAATGTGCACAAATTATTCAGCAACTTTGCATGTTCAACATGCTTGACGCGTTACATCTCATGCAACAGAGCAAAAGAAGCACAATTGAACCTTCATATGACGGCATTTCCCCATTTCCCGGATGTTCCTCTATTCCAGGAGAAAAAGGACAATTCAAGTACCATTTCGAAGTTGTCACAAACAGGCGTGTATAAGTAACAATGGTTTTTAAAATGTAAAACTTTTCACAGAGGGGTTTTCACAAATGATCCAGACATATTGGGCACTTTAATTCCAGCAAAAAACTTTTTTTTTTTTTAAATAATGTTTTATTCAAAAGAAAATCCTACCTTCTATCTCTCCACCAGAGGAGGCTATCTTGGACAGGTTCAGGTATGTAGTGCCAATAGCATCATTTCCTGTCAAACGATCCCTGCAACCACACATGACACCTTTAGAGTCACGCTGCATACACACATAGCACTTCACAAAAACAAAGTCTCTTTCTTGCTGTTCATGTCTACATGTTTTCAACAATGTATTTATTGGGTCAGAGATCCGAGCTTGTTTTCAACATGTCCCGAGGCCTACACATTTCCTCTTCCCTTCAGCCTTCCTGGACCCGACTTGTCGGACAGTTTGTTGGCTCAGAAACGCACAATAATGAATTTAGCTGAGAGACGGTGCCAACAGGATCCCAGAGCATGTTACTGAGGGGAAGGGAGGGACCTGCACAGCCTGAGTCATAGGCTGCTACATTAGTCTCATGTGGTTGGTGATGGGGCATGGACACACATGGACACACTCACACTCACACACACACACACACACACACACACACACACTTTCTCAACTCCAAATAACAAAAGATCGTTGCCTCTTCTTGAACACAAAACGACGGTCAATCTCTTAAATACAAACATCTTGTTTGACTTACCAATCAAAGACTGTCATCTTGACACGCTCACACATGGAGGGGAACTACAGAAATCACAAGACGCAGGTTAAAAAGACCGAAATTCATTCATAGTGTCCATTACTTTCGGTCTTTTGTGATGCTGGACAACACCACTTTTCGTCCTCTCACCTTTACTTGGAGGTGCAGCACTTGGTTCCACTCTGGGTTTGCACTGTGCTCAATGACCCGAGTGCACAGCTGGAGAGAAACACAATCAATCAGCTTTTTTTCTGTTACACAACAACGTTATATCCAGTATGCTTACATTCAACGCTGCAGCTACAAAAAAAATAAATAAATAAATAAAAAAAAAAAAAAAAATAAAAAAAAAAAAAAAAAAGACAAAACGATCAGAAACCTTTTTGCCAGCGAAGCGAGCCTCTAAGAAGGGATCCACCAGGTTCTTCTTGTTTTCACCCCCCCCAAAAATTTCTTTCATGGTCTGGATGAATGCATCATCCACTGTAATGCAAAAACATTGGAATAATTAATCAATCAAGTTTTTGGTAGCCAGAAAATGGAAATGATTCAGTTTTTAGCAAGCTCAACTTGTGAATCTGTATTTTATATGTGCTGTGCGGATTAAATGACCATTTAATTATAAAAATACAAAATAATTACGACAGGTTGTCTTACTCTGGGGAACGTCTTCAGCCCTGAACACCTTCAGTGACAGGGTGGCCCATCGCAGAGTCAAACCAGCTGGCAGAAGCAGATTACTCTCGATGTCATCCTGATCGTCACACGAGTCGCTCTTCTCCACCTGCGTGGTGCGAGGCAGAAAGAACAGAAAAGAGCTTATGAGAGAGGGCGACGGGCATAACCACCATATTTACATGCAGAAAGAGGAAGCGACCAGCGCTAGTGAAAGTCATTTGAGCGCCGCAGACTGCGAGTCGTACCGGAGGCTCGTCTCCGGCCCCCACTACGAAGAGGCTGACTTTGAGGTAGCCTTTAGCCCCGGAGCTGGAGTCGTGTGGATCATTCAGCAGGAGCCACTTCCTCATGACACAGTGGGCTGCATCAGGACACACACAAAAGGACATACATTCATAGTCTGCACCATCGGGTAGAATGTATGGGTAAATTACAATTAACCTTGAAGTTATACTTTGTGCGCGCAGAAGTGCCTGAGTTTATACACATTATTCCCTCTAAAAGTCATTATGATAATGTGACATTCTAAAGATACACATTAAAGATTAAAACCAAGTTTTAAAGATCAGTGTAAGAAAACAAAAAAAAAAATTGATAAAAACCAAGAAATGGCTCAAAGAATCTTTCGCATTCTCTTGCAATTTTTCAAAGCCAACTATTGGATAATGTAGTGTTTCTCATAATGTAATTTTATTTAACCTTACAGTAACTAATTGAAGGCAGCAACACTAACATATCATCACCTTTTAAGTTGATATAGGGAACTGATAAGGTACACATCCAGATGATACAGTGCAACAACATTCATTTGGAGTCATATTTCTGGCCAAAAGGCAAATTAAAGTCTAATATTCACTCTTTTTTTAGCCCCCAACTTCTGAGAAAAATGTAATTCTCAGGTTTAAAAACCAAAACGACAACCTGGAAGATGCTATAACGCTCTGAAGGGTTGAGGGGAACAGCAGAGTCGGTTCATTATGATCCAATTCTCTGAGGGTTCATCACTATGAGCAACACCATTCATATACGAGTACTCATGTGACCTATTGTTAATATATCAGATTACAGAAACACCCATTCTGAACATCCTCAACATTATACAAACCAACTAAAAATAGCATCCGGAGCTCCACAAGACAAACAGGATCCTCAGAGCAAATGTAAATGACACACAAATCTGTTTGTGCCGAGCTCACCTGGTTCATCGTAAACATAACTAACATCCAGCTGTGTGAGAGAACAAAACAAGATCAGCCAGACTCATTAAAAGGCATTAACCACATGCTTTTAACAAATATGTGAAGACAAAATGAGACCAGGTACCTTGAATTCTCCCATGAGACTGTCAGCCCTCAGAGAATAGGAATTATATACCTGCAGAGGAGAGCATTCCCAGTTTATATGCATTTGTACATATTGACAGAGCATTGGGTCTCATAATCCGCATGCGTGTACTGACCCGGAAGCTGAAGTGCTTATCAAACAGATCCGATGGGAGCATGTGGACGTTGTAGAAGAATATCTACAAAAAGAAATTTCAATGAACATTTACCATTTACCACCACCCAGCACAATTTAACCCATGCCAACATATTTAAAGTGTGAAACTGTCTATTGTCTCTCTGTGTAAGAGTGAAGTGAGAGTACCTCATCAAAGAAGGGGTTGTTTCCCCTCTTGATCCTCGTCCTGTGGGTCTCTTCACACACATTAACCTTCACCACTGGTTTGATGTTGTTGCCAGACAACTGACGGGCCTCGATGACTCGGACACGAATCTGAAGAACGCGTAGTATCACAGTATAAGTGTGGATGAATTCATTTAGCTCGTGACAGTATGAAAGCAGCCGATTCTGTCCTAATGCACCTCAGTGTATTAAATACACTGTAGACATAGATATACATAACTGTTGTGTCATCCTGAAAGTGACTTAGAATTTAAATATAAAAAGGAAAAGAAATATGTATTTTCCTGTAATTAATGCCAAAAATAAAGTTTTTGCTGGCTTTCAAACATTCACACCATTCTGTTCTTGATCTGCGTATTAAGAATCGAGCCAATGGTCTTTGTTGATGATCGCACTAAAACACAAACTGACCTGGAAGTCCTGAGGTTTATTGACTAGTCGGCGGCGACTCTGTGCCCGGGACAGCTTCTGACCAGAGGACGAGGAGACCCCTGCTGAGCCCCTTTGGCCCCCATCTGGTAAAGTCTCGTCCCCACCACCACCTAATCAGCAGAAAAAAACCAGATGATCAAATACCTGGCATGCATTACATGCTACCAATCTTTACTGCATTGCATCACTAAGGATTACACAAACATACCAGCGTCTGTGGCATCTCCTGCCTGAGGGTTTGGTGCAGCATTGGCTGGAGGATCGTAGCCAATCATCAGGTCGATTGTAGCCTGGAATGAAATGATTGGCCGGTCTATTATTTCATTATTTCTTATATAAGGAAGGTCGCCTTCCTGTTGCTTGTATTTCTTAATTCATGCAGAAAGAATCTTACTCCAGTCTTCTGTCCACTTTCAGTGACCAAATCAACGTTTTTGGATGGCAGTGATGTCACTTGACCTGAAGCAAGGTCTCTCAGAGAGATTTTGCTTGACCCTATGAATCTGTTAGAAAACAAAGCAGGGAAACATTAAATACACAAATAGATTTTAATTCACTGTCGATACTGTGTAACTTGGGAGAATGTGCTTGGTAACGATTCTGCACTGATTTCCTGTTTTATTAGGGAAAAACACAGGCTGCCATTCTAGTCAGCAAACATATCAGTAATGAAGATACAGACCACACAGAAATGAAATGCTGCATGTGCGCTCAGTGATGTCACATTCACAAAAGGGGCATATAGCAGGTCACCGCCAAGAGCCAACAAGCCCTGCCTGCTGAGACAAACAAACGCACCCGATGAGCCAGCGCACAGTCAACACGGCAACGAAGCTACCGCTCAGTGATTCACAGTGCGTTTAGATCATCTGTGACCGGAGAACTCAAATCAACCAGCTATTCCATGACACGGTCATTTAAGCACCAGCAAGAAACAACAGAACCACGATTCTGGAGACGTTCAGACTAGCCCACTCATTGTTCTTCATTTGACAATTTGGGGAACAAAATAACCCATTTCATTCCAAGTCATTTGCCTCCGAGTCAAACTGTTTCCTTATGGATTGTTAATTACAACATTTCCTCCATGAAAGAATTATTACTTTTTTTTGTTTAGCAATTCTTGTTGGTTTCTAATTATCAACATTTGAATGATTAAGTAGAAAAAAAAAATGATCAAATGAATCAACAGTTGTCAAAAGAAGGCATCAAGATAAAGGATTCAGATTAAAGTCGAATTAGAATTGCTTTGACAGCTGTGTGGCTCTAAGCTTAGATAAGTCAAAGACGTAATTGAATGAAACTAAATGGGCAAAAGTGTGCGTCGGTGTTGGATCTGACTAACAATTAGGGCCGTCACAATATCAGATGTTGACTACACAGTTATCGTGGCCAAAATAATTCACGATAACATTATAGAAAATTTAAAAAACAATAATGTTCATTTAATCAGTCAAATTCATCTTTAACTCTGTTTAGCATGCGTTTTGTCTTTTTTTATTGGCAAATAGATTGTCCTCAAAATTCAAGTGTAGGAAGGTGAAGAGCGTGATTTGAGAGGCGTTGGATTATGTGCACAACACTATCAATTGTGCATTATTAACACACTGTCAATATTTAATTTCTTAATTATCACTAATGTCAATATCGTGACACCCCTTCTAATAATACTAGACTCTTGTTAAACAGGTACAGTAACCTCTCCATGTCAGTTAAAGAATTCTCCATGTCAGTTGAAGAATTGCTTTGAGGCAGTTTGTTATTGCGTGTGGTCATTTGTCTTGTGTGCAGCCAAAGAGCACATCTTAATGGGCTGCTTCTTTAGACAATTATGAGTAAATAGGAAAGGAACAACATACCATTAGCTCTTTCATAAATATACTTTTTGTTTCTATTATTTTGTCCATCGAATTTATGTCAGTGAGGGTAGGCTAAATAACAAAAACACCTCTTTGTTTAACACAACATACAAAAGCTCCACCAACTGAATCTTCTACATTACTACACGCAGTAGAGTCAACACCTGTGAGCGTAACCTTTATGAAGGTAGGAGTTATTATTGCATGACTGTTTAGACTGCATTCGTTTTAGTTAATAAAGTGGCAACTCCGTATGTTTCGCTGATTAAAACAATCTAACAATGTAGCTAATGGCATGCAATACGTGGGCGACCGTGGCTAAGTGGCGAGCAGGGTTGTCCTTCAATCAGAGGCTCGACGGTTCGATCCCCAGCTCAGCTAGTCTGATGTCGATGTGTCCTTGAGCAAGACACGTAGCTGTGCCTACGGGAGCGATGTGATAGAATTGTAAGTTGGAGAATGTAATGCATCACGTAAACTGTATTGTTCTTTGGGTGGACTAAGTAACATTACTTTGGCAGCATTTCTGTTGACCCAAGACGGAAACTCGCAGTTTCCCAACGCTGGCTCCAATGACACCACCGTATGCTCACAATCAGATGATTTGATCAGAACTCAAAGCTTTCAATTAAACCTTAAATTCAAAGGGTGTTTTTTTCCACCGTTGCCAACAACTTTTACTTGGCCTGGATAGAAAATATCATGGGACAAAAATGCTGTAAAAGAGCTCCACCATGCTGAGAGGAGCCAACAGATCTCACATTAAGTAACAACCTTGACTTTCTATCAGGAAAGCATTTCTTTAAACATAACAGATCAAACACTTCAAGGGCAAAGCACATACTAGAAGCAGACATCCAAGCATTAGCAGTTTATGAGATTTGTGCTGCACTCCAATGAAACAGAGCAAAGTAAGATATGAACTATATACAGTTCCTTATATCAGTTTACCAACACTTTCACAGCTGGACAGAGTTTGGTTTGGGAGGAGAGAGGGAGGGTGGAGAGTTATTGTTTTTCAGGAAGAAATGACACGGGCATTCTCCGTGGAGTCAGTGACTCTATAAACCTGGTATGTAGCCTTGACCAACAATGCTCGTGTAGTTTTCCAATGTTTAACTAATAATTTGGAATTCAGTTATGATGTAACTCACATCCACTCTGCTGCAAGTTTCTCCTTGGACACTTCTGCCAGCTGCTTCTGGCTCCAAATTCGAAAAGCGTAGGGCTGTCCCTTATATATAGATACATTTCATTTTGCAACTTATCCGTTTTCAGCTTGACTGCGTTCTGATAAGAGCATTCCAATATGAAGAATCATACTGTGTGATTGTACGGTATCAAACACCACACACATATGCTTCTTGATAAAATGATGGGACGATTATTAACGCCCAGAACTGTATTTATTGTGAACCGAATATGGAGGTCATGCGCTGACTGACATTTCCCTCATTGTTCTCCATGCAAACACACTTATGCAATTATGATGAGAATCCTGTGTATATATAATGTAAATAGAACTTAATATGACAGTGTTTTTATAAACTAGACATGTGCATGTCGCAATCCATTTTCCACATATTGCTATGTATTTAAATTTTTTTACAGAGCTCTGCACATGATTTGTGTATTTTTCAGCATTTTCAGAGGTTGCTATTCTTGTTTCTTTTAATGTATCCATCATTTCCAAGACCAAAACAGACCCCCCCCCACAAACCCCCCCACAGCTGATAAAGTTCCCATGTCCAAACAATCACAAGTCGCCCACAGACAAAAATTGTGTGTGGAGTTCTTATTGGATGTAGGTACAGTTCTTCCCTTTGTCAGCCTTCTATAAACAGTGGAAAAACAAACAGACAGCAGTTAACTCTGATCACATATCCGTGGAGGGAAAGCGGGACTTAACACGAGCAGCTCTACAAGAGTGTCCTTGGCTGGGTTTCAGTTCAAGACGTTAAGACCCTCCCCTTGTCATAACTCGCAGATCTGCTAGGATGACTGAGTGTGCCGACACAGCTCATCTCAGATCAGTGATAAGAGTGATTATTATATCCCCGATTATTACTGTTGCAATATATCTATTAAGCACTGCAAGGCTACAAAATCCTGAAATGTTTTTCATAAACCGGGTAAGTGATATATTTGGACAGACCCATTGTCTGACCCAAGGTTTTATGAAGACAGGAGATGAAACAATACTCTGAGGTTCTGATGTGAAAACATTTTTCCAGCCATATCCGACTGAACAGTTTCACCCTGGTTTTTACTGTCCCCACATTCTACCATTACAAGAGTCTTTGTACAGAACAGGTTAATATTTAAATGGTATATCAGCGTTATCAAAAAACTAACCATGCAATGACTTCTAAAAGGCTGAAGCCCTGTTGTACAGCATATTCATCTAGTTAATGGATCTTTCATGGGAAAACGAGTAGGATAAAGGAAACGATTTTAAAAAGTATGCAAAGCAGGAGATTAAAGTTAATTTTTAACCATGAATGAGTTTTACTTAACTGTCTAGAGACTTTTGGCTGTATTATTTTTAGCCATGTTAGCAGCGTGGCTTTAGGGATAGCAACATTGGTCTGTCAATTAGTCCACCACGTGAGTCTAAACTGAAATATCTCAACAACTATGAGATGGATTGTCATGAAATCTTGTAAGGTCATTCATGGTCCCCAGAGAATGAATCCTGATGACTTTTCGTGATCCCCAACCTTTCATTTAGCACAACCATGAGGTTTGAAAACTTAACAACTATTGGTTGGACTGCTGTTGAATGGGCTGAAAGGTATGAATGGTCCAGAGAGGATACATTCTAATGACGAGAGTGATGCTCTGACTTATTATGTGCCCCATCCCTGCATAAGTTTACACTTATTCAGTTATATCTCAGCATCTACTAATGCATTTGAAATATCTCAAGTATTGGAAGGATTACTGTTAAGATTAGAACAGATATTCATGGTCCCCAGAGGACGAATTGTTATCGTAATTGTGGTGATTCCGACTTTTAATCTAGTGCATTTATCATGTTTGAATTTCAATTGTCCAATATTTAAGTTTGACCAAATTCCTGTAAAATTATTAACATGATCTTCAACTGTACTTGGTGTTTAGTGCTAATTAACAAATGTTAGCATGCTGATACACTTACATTACCTGCTAAACGTCAGCATTTCTATTGTTAGCACTTTCATATGCAGACGTTAGCATTAAGATGCTAACAGGGCTGCAGACTTGTATTTGTAGTCTTGTTTTGACCCGTCTAAAATCATTTTAGCAGAACATGAACTGACTGGAAAATGGATTTACTTAACTAGTAGATTTAAATTAAAGCTCAATCATGAGTCATTGATTTTTATAAAACTCACTGTAGGCAGAATTTGATTCTCAAATCTTATAATCCAGACTGTACTGCGCCACACACACACACACACACACACACACACACACACACACACACACACACACACTTTTCTTAAATCTAATTAGTTAAGGAAACATGCTTGCTTCCCTTTTTGTTGCCATGACAACAGGGATTACCCATAACAGCTGGAAAACTATTTGAGAGAGAAGTCCATTTCTGCTCACACAGTGTAGACCTTTAGGGAGTGTGTCAAACGGGCCAGCCCAGTGGAAAACATTACTCAATTTAACATGGACTTGTGTGCTGGAGAGGCACATTTGAAAAGCTCCACCCCTCTGTTATGTCCCATGCACTGGGGAAACATTCACTAGATAAAAAAATATACATACCATGGTCTGTCAGACATAAATTATAAAGATGGATACACTTTAATGCGATTTGTTTTCCTATGGTAGTTGATACTTTGATCGCAGTAATTAGTGATGTCAAAGAAACAATCTTTGTGGTTGGTCTATATTGGTCCCAGATGTGACTCTGGCTTTACATGGAAACATGGAACTTGTTTGAAAAAATGTAGAAGCATTTTGCACGAAAGCAACTCTCCTCACAGTATTGGAGAAGTTCACATGTGCTGCATGTACCGCAATTACAGTACATGACTACTATATAATTTGGCAAGTAAATGCCCCATAAAAGTATTTCCTTTAACATTTTCCCTGTCCTCGGTGACACAAAGCTGAGAGCGAAGGAAGCGAGAGGGAGAAAGAGAGAAAGCTTTGTTCTCCTATAGATTGAGCGAGGGGGGACAAAAGCAATTCATCCATCCAATGTTGCCCAATCAGGATCAGTCATCCCACACAGCCCAGCAAGTCTCAACATGGCACGGAGGGTGTGAGTGGGAGACAGCCAGCTACATAACTCAAACACAAGGTTACTGTGAAAATATCTAACTTCCTTGATAATAATGTCTATCCTTTAACCAGTGGGTGATGGAACTTTGGCATGTTCAGACACTGTAGCCAAGGTGCAGACTGATGCCTAAATGTCAGCTCGTGTTGGACTACCTGTGTTGTATCTGAAAAACTGTAATTAGAATAAAAACTGACATCCATAAAACAGTAAAGATGGACTGTTGGCTAACCTGCAGTCGGACTATACAGACGCATTTCCTAGAAAAGCTTCGTTCAGACCAAAAGAAGTTGGCGCAGTGATTCAATAAGGCGAGGCTCACATCTTCTCTTTCATCACTGTGATCCATGTGTTGCACAAAACCCAAAGCTAACAAGAAGATCAGTCTCAGGGATTTGTGTTGCACTTACTTATTTTTCCCAATGGTTTCATAGTCTTTCACAATCACGTCTATGTAGGAGCTAGAGTCCAGCCCTGTGCCCTTCAGATCAAACTCAAGCACCTGCAAGACAAGATGAGGGATACACAGCCCATTAATATGGTACTCCAACTGCTGGTGTGTCCTGAAGCAGCCACATTGTATCGGAGGGCAGGACCTCCAATTGATGCAACCCGAGGAAATATTGATCGAGTTGATTTTGCAACTCAGCCAGTATGACACAAATCAATCGCATCAAACTCCCGAGACTGATCTACACCAGTCCCATGATCCGTTTACATGGTCAATACATACTATGACATAAGATTGTTGTCACAGCATGTCTACCATGTGATGTGCACTGCTGCATCTAAAGAGGAGTTTATCTAGATAGATAGATATAGATATCTCAATTATTCCTGCTTTCCTTTGCAGCTGATCAAAACGAACTGATTATAAATCAAAGTAAAAGAGGGACGCAGAGTTATCTGCATGTTTGAATGTGTGTGTGTGTGGGGGGGGGTGTACCTCATTCCACACAGGATTCAGCTCACTGTCAATCGATTTTGTTTTCTTCTTCTCACCTGAAAGTCAAATTCATACATTAAAAAAAAACAAAAAACATCAGCTTATCCTTAAAGAGCATGCTGTGGTACATGACTTCTCAAGATTAGGACACACATAGATCGACCAACCCAAGAAAACACATCTAAAATCATTTTACCCATACGTTTAGTTGACAATGTTACGTTATTTCTGTGTCTAACTTAGCGGTTTTGCATGCTTTATGGCAAGAGTCGGTGTCAGCGGGCTTCAGTCTGTGTCTTTACCGGGAGGAAAGGAGAAGAACAGAGGCTGCCACACCTGCGCGTGATGATTACAACTTGGGTACAAAAACACACAGCTGAGAGCAACTAGGGCTGATTGCTAGGAGTATTTCCTGGTAGGGGAGACAGTACCTGATACCATTTTGATTCAGTAGCTGGAGGCTAATTTCCCAACATTTTCCAACTTGTTTCTCTATAGCCTTCTTTGTTCTGTCTGAACTGAATACCAGTCCCAAACATCGTCCTTTCCCAGTTCTGTTTACATCTAAAAATGTCGTGATGTCGGGAAAGTGATGCAAAACAACTTATCCTGATTAAGAATTGAAACATACTGGGCTTCCAGTTAATGTGCAAGAACGACAAAACGATAGAATAAAACTATATTTATTGCTACCATATGAAATCACAGCAAAACTATTAAGTTCATAAAGTGACTCCATATTAGATAAAAGTTCTATCAATTAATCGACCATAAACTTCCCATTCAGTCCCAAAGACACACTTTACATACTTCTTTAAGAACAAATGTTAGGCTACAAGTGACTTATTTTCCTAAGACCGAACACGATTAAAACTTTAAGACTTTTGAGACTCACCTTTAAAAATGACAGTGGCAATTGGATCAGGGGTTCCAATTGTCTTTTTATGCAGCCCTCTAGCCGCCTCTACTACGACCCGCAACATGGCAACAACCAGGTTAAAAAAAAGACTCAATTAGTGAAGTTCTGGAATGAAACGAAAACAAAAAATCTTCACAGGATTGTCGTGGTTTAGGCATCCTCACTGCCCCATCATCACTGAGGCAGACAGGGCAGGGCTGAGGAAGTGTATTTCCCGGTCCCGTTGGTGAGAGCGAGGGGAAACATGGGCGGATCACGGGAGTGTAATTATTCTGAGTGGAAGTCAGTGATCTTCTGCTGCCACCGTTTGAGACCAGCTGAGCTAAACACAAACTACATCACTGACAGGAGAAGAGAGGAGTTCCGTATTCCTTCATTAAATCCAGGATGGAAATATATTGCAGGAGCCCAAACGATTATTTTGTTCAGAGGGCTTCATGTCGTCAGATGCTGCCACTCTTCGGGTTTCACTCTGCAAGCTTCTGCATGTTTGCGTACTGAGCAAATATCTGGCTGTGGCTCCATCTAGTGGCTGCATCAGGTAACCGCATATATTTGACTGAGGCCAGTCAAGGGGCCATCCCAGCCTAACTTTGCAAGGCTCTTTGTAAAAAAGAAATACACACACTCAAATGTGTGCCGGTGAAGTTGTAAAAAATACATTTCATATCCACTTTTGTTCACCTACCTAGTGTAGTAAAGTTGTAGTGATGTCTGTCTTAGTTGGTCATCTTCGAATACCCGCTGATGACATCACTGATATGACAGAGCCGGCTGTAAAAGGTCTACATGGCAAAACAGGAAGCCTTTTTATTTTTCACCTGTGTTTTTCTTGCTATAAGAAACACAAAATATGATGTGGAAAAGGTTTACTACTATCTGCCAGTACTTTATGTTGTCCATTACATTGCATCATATATAAAATGAATTATATGGAGCCAGGTACTATACAGGCTACTGGTGTGTGTAGGTCTGATACTAGACAAGGCTGAAGATATTGGCCTGCAGACCAGACTCCACTGGGTCTTGGGGACCTTCATTAAACCTCGTGGGAGGCCACTGGCTCGTGCTCATTGGAGTAGTAAGCAAGAGTGCTGTGAGTTGCCTGGCAATAATTAAACTGCATTAGTTACAGAAGTCTGTGAGGCTGTAACAATTATGACAGAGTAATATTACAATTTTCTTTTACCCTTTTAAACCTATAATATATTTGCAGTGTAAAATGTAATATTGAGGATTTCTGCATAGTCATTATGTTTAAACAGCTGTCCTTGTCCGAAAGTTGCCACTCTCCTGGGTCCTGGCTAACTTTGTCTCGTTAAATGATTAATCCACTGAGGGTTTGTGGCTCTGTTACCGTCAGCCGACTTGCAGTCATTTTGGAAAACTCTCAACTCTCCACGGTATTCTCACCAGTGATGTGTTGACTTTCCCCTCTCGGAGCGGTCAAAGACTTGTTACGGATGGCGTATTGATCCCTGGACCTGGGCATTCCTTTCCGGTCTGGAGACAAGAAGCTTTGTTTGAGACAATCGGGTTTGCCTGACAGAGGGAGGGATGGAAACAAAGGCCCTGTGTGTTTAGGCTCAGAGCTTGTTGAGGATCTCAGATTGGCCTCAGCGCTTGTGGGTGCTGCATCTTCCGTTGTCACCAGCATCTGGGTCCAAAGAACTTAAATCACTGACGAAGATTCAATCTGGATTTAAAATTCAACAGGAAGTGTTTGGAAGACTTTAAAGAGGCGTTCAAGCAGCGAGGCTCAGGTTATCGATATGTATACTTTAAGGAAAAACAAAAATCCTTGGGGGCTTTATGAGACAGAAATACCACACAGCAGGCTCTGGTGAGTTTTCTTTGGCTTGTTCCTATTTATCTGATCCTGATAGATATAACTGATCACTGTTAAATAACTGTGTATAACCAGTTATTGCAAACAAAAGTTTGTACATTTTGCATGTGATATGGCTGTACCTCATAATCATCCACTTACTTTCTATACTTTTCATGTGACACCAATCCATCTGACATTTTATCATCTCAAATGTTGTCCTGTCAAATAAAACAATGTCACTGGGGGAAAGATGTACTGGTTATAATCTTCACCCTTCATCCATCTATCCATGCATCCATCCTTCCTTAACATTACAAAAAAGTTACGTCGTCTTCTGTGAAGAACATTTGCATCTCAGATTCACATTTTTTCTCCACTCAAGACACTTACAAGGATTCCTCTCTTCCCAACACAGCTTCACCAACTCTTTCAGATACAATAGCCTTTATTACACTCCTTTGTCAGTGAACTAACCAACACTTTTATTACTTAATTACTTTACGGTTCCATTAGCATTGGTGAGAAATGTGTGTTATGCAAAGGACCACTCAAGCATGTCCTGATAGATCTGGAAAAGACCTCACAATACTGAGACATGTGACTGATTGTTCCAGCTTGTAGTCTCCCCGAGCAACAGGGCCACACAGTAGCTGCTGGTGGTGAATGAAAATCCCTCTGATGTTTTAAACATGTCCCCCAAACCGGACTTATTCCCCATTCGCAATATTTACCAAATACTCACATTAAGACCCACTGTTCAATTTGCATACATTCATTTTTACTAATTGTATGTTTCAGATGATTATGCATGAGACTTCATAATGTGGTTTTTAAGTATTTTTTTGGGATGAGCAGTGTGTTGTCCCAGTGCTGCCACTTGGGAGTGCTGCATTCATTCTGCAGTGAGCCAGACACAAGCCAGATGTCAGTGACTGGATGGAATTAATATAACAGTCAAACTTACTAACAAAAAAAAGTAAAATATGTGATGCTAAGAAAACCGATTCTACCTGATTGATCATTCTTTGGCTTCAATTGGCTCCAGACCGAACTAACCACAGTGTCTTTAGGCCTCCTTCTACTAATTATTGTGTCATGCATGTTTTGAACCAGCTGTATACCTGCACACACAATAAGTAAGTTTAAAGTATCCAATACCTGCATAACTTGACAATTTCCTTGAACTTCATTGCTGCAGCGATCCAGCCAGTGGAGTCAGTCCTGCAGAAAAACTGACCCCCGAGCACCTGCAGCTCCTGAGAAATGCGTTTATCTGTCCAAAAGCTGGACCACAGATCCACGAAGACAGGCCAAAAGGAAGTAGAGGAAGGAACAGAGGAAATGAAGAGCATGGAATGAAGTTCCAAGAGTTTCAGGAGGTTTTGAGGTCTGTGATTGGTCCAGATGTTGAGGACACATGGGTTGAAAGGTTCTTTGGTGAGGTAAGGAGAAATTAATATAGAAGAACTAATACTGCATGTATTGTTAAAAAGGAAAGCACAGAGACATTATACAGTATAATCCCATCAGCGTAACCTCTGATGGGATTTCACATTTACCAAACAAAACAAATATGGGATGACTTCCAGATGATGATGATGCAGAGTCTTCTAACTGTTTCATATCCAGGTGGACATCAGCTGTACCGGGCAGGTAAAGTGGCAGCAGCTTTGTTCCTACCTGCTTCTGGAGTACACTGAGAGAGAGCGGGCCTCCATCCCCAGAGCGGCTCTCCTGGTCTCCCAGCCGCAGATCAGACACTGCTCTCACAACAAGGTAGAAATCCACCAGCCTGGGAAAATGAGAAGGAAAGGTGCATCTTTGAAGGATGTTCCAATGTTCCAAAATAACACCAGTAAAGATATCTCTAAGCTTCTTCTCTTTGTATGAAATTAGTGTTAGTAGTTCATCCCTCATGAATAAATGTAACAAATAAAACAAAACGTTCTTATACTGAATAAGAAAAAGAAAGCTCTGCTAACACGCGGCTAACTGCCCAGCAACAAACGGCAGACAGATGAAGATAGCAACTATACTAACGCTAGCTGGTGAAGAAAGTCCAATGTTAGCACGCTAAAAAGTCAGGTTTCGTACTCAGAAGTTGTCAGAGTCCAAAACAATGCTAAAAAGAAAGTGAATATTGTATTAACAGCTGTCAGGTGGGATTTGTTTTTAGCTTTGTGTCCGCTGTATGTGAAAGTAGCCTAGTCAACTGCTTGCTAACATGTTAGCTGTGGTTCTGTCAGCTATTGGAGGTGTTCTGCCCCTTTATTGCCCAAAAACAAGAATTGTTTTGTTTTTACATTATTCATTGTCCGCAGGCTAGATATGTGACCCAGGATTTAAATGAATAATAACGGTATATAAGTATGAAACTTATGACTTATATACAGAGGGCTTTTTTTATTTTCTACACTCTACATTTTTTCTAAAAGTAATACTTTTATTACTCCAATAACCTTTTTTGTGTCATTGATTATACTTGCACTCATTCCTCTGCAGCGGGAGCCAACAGTGCGTGTGGTTGCGGTCTCTCACCCTCCTCCACTCCGCTACATTAGTGTCAGTAAGGGAGGTCAGATCACTGTCTGGAACAGCAGCCTACACATCCTCAAAACTCTCAGGGTGAGTGACATCATGGTAATACTTTTACATCCACATGGGAGTACTACACACTCACACACACACACACACACACACACACATTTTATATTTAATCCTGTTTAATCCAGCTTGCCGGAGACCCAACAGAGGAAGTGGCCAACACCAGGAGGTTCAGAGGCTGGACCACTGATGCTGTCTCTATGGGCAACGTCCACAAGGTTGCCATAGCGACCGACTGCAGGGACTTGCACTTCGTCAACGTCTCCACGGGCAATGTATTCGAGGATGTCCACCTCTTTGGTGTGCCTAAATGCTAACGTGTTGAATTGTTCCAAACTAAATTATCAAGTGTTGTCAACTCGTAACTGTCTCATCATTTTTGCAAGGCTTTCGTAGTGTCCCAACCGCTCTTTGTTACTGGCATGATGCTCAGGTAGGACCGCTAATCCTTTGAGACAAATTCCCTCTGAAAGCAATAAACCCATTCCTTGAATCTATGTGTTTTTTCCCTCCAAGTGTCCAGAACGACCCTCTCTGCTGCTACTGGGGGATGAAAAAGGAGGAGTCCACCTCATGTGGTTCCTGAATCCATCTAAAGGTCTTTTCAAGAATGTGGCCATCAAAGAGAACGATCCACAGAGGATCTTTTTCCCAGTAAGCTTAGTAGTAACCAGTGTAGCAGTCAGTAAAGACAGCCACTTGTTGATTACAGTCCAGTTTTACAAACAAGCATTTATTATTATCCACCGTGATAACAGGACCTTGGTGAACACAGCAACATGGTCTCGTACCGTCACATCCCGAACATCCACCAGGAACCAATCAACAGAGTGATGTTTGAGCCCAGCGCCAACGTCATCATGACATCATCAGAAAGTGACACCACCTCTGTGGTCTTTATGAATGTGACACTAAAGCAGGAGCCTTACATTTGGAAATTTAAGCAGGTAACCAACTTCACAGTGTGGTGTTTGATAGTAGGGTTTTATGTGTTACTGTGTGAATTCTCTTATCATACCTTAGTATTTTGTGATGAACTTTTAGAAACATATGCCTACAATTTAGTATACTATATTACAACACACTACATATTATTGTGGTTAGCCCTTCATAATATCAAGTATGTGTTTATGCATCAGAAGTATATTTCCAGCAAGAAGGGAGTGCAATGATTGTTGTTGTTATCCACTTTTGATGTGGATCACGGTCAGGTGGAGGTCACTGTACTCTGGCCTGGGTGACCCTGACATAACTGGGTGAAAATCAACCTTCGGTTCAAACTTGTTTATAAATCAATGAATGCTCTGACGGCATGTGGCAAATGCAAATAGTCCTGAACTCATACAGTGAATTGTCCCCTGCCAGTTTTATCCAGAAGAACAAACATGAGATGTGAGTCAAGTTATTTCTAAAGTTGACTCTTGCCCGGCATACAGAGGCCAACAGCGCCACTGACTGTGGAGAGAAGGAGTTAATGTTACAAAAGCGTTATTTAAACTGGGCGGTGATGCTTCTTGTTATTCACAATGGCTTCTTTTGAAGGAGCACAACTGTTTGGGAATTTTAACAATGAGGCCACCCTTAAAAACTCCCCAGTTAAAAGTAATGAGACCAGCTGACTTGTTTAGTTTTATTAGAAGTGAGCATGCTTTTAAGTATTAAGTATAATTAAGTATTCTCTATGCCATCTGTACACCATGTTCTTTTTGTCTCATTTCAGGGCGCTAAATGTTTTGACTACAATGCGTCTCTGCAGTTGATGGTTACAGGAGGTTGTGACCGAGCAGTCAGACTATGGACTCGATTTGTGACCACACGTCCCGTAGCTACGCTGCTGGGTCACCGCACCACTGTGTTGGATGTTGCAATCTACCAACCTGTTGGGCAGATCTTCAGCTACTCCAGAGATGCCGTGAGTCATGAAAGATGAAGCTTCAAATATTAAGTGCATATATATTGCTTATTGTTTATCATATAAAATCATATTTGGGATTTTTTGTGAATCGTGACATATCACGACAGAGCTTGTTTCTTTTCTAATTACTTAATTTTTCTTTGTCAGGAGCTGAAGGTTTGGGACATTTCCAGCCATCACTGTCTGAAAACCGTCTGCCTGCAGTTTCCCTGCAAGCAGCCAGGTCGAATCCCAGAACATGGCAACTTCCCCTTTCTGTTGCTGAGCCCTCCTCTTCCTGAGCAGACCCAGGCTCATTTGGTGGTGGGATGCAAAGATCACCTGGCAGTGCTCTACCTGGCTGAAACGAGAAGAGGATGGGGCGGGCGGTTGACGGACGAAGGAAGGGAACCTGGACCAAACCATCAAAGTGGTCCAGCCCTCAGCTGTGCTCTGTACAACTCTTCTCTGAGACAGGTGGTGACTGGACATGCCGACTCGTCTGTGTCTCTGTGGGACGTGGAGACGGGGAGGAGGCCGCTTCAGATCCAAAACGCTCATGGAGAAAATGAGCTCACCTGCATGACACTAGACTCCTCCCACAGAAGACTGATCACTGGGGCTCGCAATGGCACTATAAAGGTTTGATACCACGTCACACAAAAATACAGTAGCACCAAACATTGCTGTGCATATTTATTTCACATGTGTGAGACAGTTTGTTAACGAGAAGACAACTCCCCGACAGGTGTGGAACTTACTAAATGGCCTCAACTTGCACAAACTGGAGCCCGTCACCAACTCTGAGGTCACCGGGTTGACCTGTCTCCACGACACCCAGCTGCTGTCCGTTGGGTGGAGCCAGCGGGTGGCTCAGTATGACGTCGCAGCTGCTAAGGTAAAATTAAAGGCGCTTTGAATTGACAATCCACAGCAGTTTTACATAGAGTAACTTAACAAGCCTGTTGCACCTGTAACTTTGCTTAACAGTGATGTCACAGGGTCCTGGAGTACACCTGTGTGTCACTGCAACAAAGCGAGAGATTAAACCTCTGGAGGGCAAGCTTTTCAGGGGGTATTAAGTTTCTCTTTGTGCTTATAACTAATACAACAAAATAATAATTTGACCTGGTATTGCAGGTGTTACTTTTTCCAGATTTTTTAATTGGAAGTTAAGATTTTGGCATTATGTACACCCTTAACACATAATAAGGGTGTTGAATGCGTTTTCCTTCCTTTGACATCAATCAACTCAGACCATCAGTATCATGAGGACCCACTCATAAAAACATTGCACCATGGTGCTGCTAGTGGTCATAACCTCCACATGGTATATACGTTACATATCAAGTTAGTAAGAATAGAGGAATAACCAAGTACTACTACTTCTGAAACAGAAAATCACATCATTAAATCCATTACAAAAGGCTTTAGGCCTCTTATATCTTTTTATTAAATGGCGAGCATGTTTCAGAGCTTCGGAGAAAAGATTCACCACATCCACCTACACATTTCTACACGCTGACGCTGCCGGCGCAAGTATAAACACCAGCATGAACTGCAATGTGAGACAAAGGTTTGGACGTGCATTTTTTCACACCTCAAATTCTTGTGTTACATTTTACCTGTCAACCTTTAACCATCATCTGCTCTGTGGTTAGATTCATCCCTCGACTACAGTAGCAACATTGAGTATGCATGTCCTGTTTTTCCTCCGCTCACTGTAAAGCACCCTGTGTCAGCACAGCCGGGGTTTTTTGAGAAAACATTTTAAGGCTTAAAAAGAATGTGAGGACTGTTTTTTAACGAGTAAATGATATTTGCGAATGACTCAAATTACATTTACTCGTGCACCTGGTGAGATAAAATACATCTGTGCCATGCAAAACATCTGCACCAGGAGCACTCTGACGTCCATCATGCTGAGCTATAACTTTTATTGTCAAATATTATCATGCACAAAAAAATTCTACATTTAACCATCCTAAGCCGTAAGAGCAGTGGGCTGCTGTAAAGGGCCCGGGGAGCAACTTAGGGTTCAGTGTCTCGCTCAACAACACTTCGACATGTATACAGGAGGAGGAGGCGGGGATCGAACCTGCCGACCTTGTGATGAAAGGTCGACCGGCTCCATTCCCTGAGCCACAGCCATCCCATTTGAAAGAGCTGACCTCAACACTGTAGCCCAGAGGTGTAAACAAAATCAGTAAACCAGGGAAGGAAATAGCGCTCCTTTCCACCAGGCAGCACAAACAATTACATGTTATTTCCAACCATTTGTAAACTATCACAGTGGGAAGTGGCGATTCCAGCAAGCTCACACACACAGTGGATCCTGAAGACAACATGGCACTCTGTGTTTTTTGGAAAACCTTTTCTATGTTGAACTGCTGATTTTCAACCTGAACACTAAATGTTTTCTTAATATTTTGAATCGATACCGGGGTAAAAACCTTTGCTGATGTTTAATATGTACATCTGTGTATATACTGTACGTATAGGATTTGTATGTAAGAGCAGACATGTCGTGGAAGTCCAGCGGTGTCCACAAGTCGGACATTCTAGCCGTGTGTCAGTGCGCTGCTCTGGGGGTCGTTGCCACTGCGAGCCATGACGGAGAGGTCATTATATGGAGGCTGGAGACGCAAGGACCAGTGCTTTACCTTCAGAGGCCGACACAGGGAGGGTAAGAAAACGCAGCCGTGAGGTAAAGATAGCAAAGATGCCTGAGACCAGGCAGTGGTGGAAAGTGAGGGAAAACATTTCCTTAAGTACTGCACCTCAGTGCATGTTCGAGGTACTTGTACTTTACTCGAGTGTATCCATTTTATGCAACCTTATACTCCACTACACTAAACACATAATACGTTAATGAAATACAGTTAAAACAGTGTTTGTGACTGCTTATAAAACAGCAGTGTCTGCTGTTTGGGCCCTTTGTCACATTCAAGTTTTTTTTCCTTTGTTCGTGTGCATCTAGACCGCTGACCCCCGTGGACAGCCTCTTGTTCCTGCAGCATCGAGCTGGCAACAGAAAGTTGAGGAACAGAGGCGTCCTGGTCTCATCGCAGGCCGGCTGTCTCTGCTTTTGGAGCGTCACTGGACAGACGCACACTTATGGTGAGAGAAGGAAGGGAGGATGGATGCAGAGTACAATTTTGTCCACGGAGCACTTTTACACAGCCGAAATGATTCTCCTCCACTGAATGGGCTTTTCTCTCGTAATCCCCATTAAAAAAGGTGGTGGAGTTGTGTAACTCAACCCGTGGAGCACTTTGACACAGCCTAGCCCTCCATTACGTGGACAAAATTGTACAAATCCACAACCTGAATTATTTAGGCTGTGTAAAAGTGCTCTATGGGTTGAGTTACGCATTGCCACAACCTGGGTTAAGAAGATCATGAGTACCCTGACTTTTTCTTGCATACTGGCACTTCTCACTAGCTGCCGTTACTGTTTTCTGTACCTCTCCATATTAGTTTCTCTGAGCTAACACGTTAGAATACAGAAATGATTGCTGATACTGGCCAATACACACGCCAACATGTGAATAAGTGGAGTCCTGACACTTGTTTTTTTCCAATCAAAACACTGTGCAGAGATTATCATTCAGAAGAACTGGATGCAAAAGTACAAAGATGTGATTTTAGAGTAAAACTATCCCAGTATGAGGGAGGCAGAAGCACCAAACTGTATAAGCAATTGACAAGCATGCCGTCAGTTTTAATGATCCTCCTGTAAGATGGATTTACAAACAGCCAGAGCAGTCAGTGACAGTCAGGCTGAACTGTTGACTTGGCCTCCTGCCTCTACCATTCCTGGCAGCCCACTGCTATGTCTCTTTCCAGATTCCATCTGTGTTTAGTGGTGTGGGATTCATGCACTCTGACTGCTGCATATGTGTACGAGCATGCAGGGGTGTGTGTATTAGTGAGCCAGTCTGCATTTGTGTGGTTGTGTATATTCCAGCATAAATGAATTTGAGAGTAATAGGGAGATGTGTGACATAACATTTAAGAGTGGCAATTTGTCTGAGAAGTAAATTTGTCATTTAAGTCAAGACAGTATTCTTGAACTTCAGGAACCCAAACCTAAACCTTTAATAATTTTGATTTTACTTGGTTTCTTTATGTTTAAAAACTGTTTGCAATTAATGTTTTTCCTTCTCATTCCAGGTCAGTTCTATGTTCCTGAGCAGCCAGGTGAGCGTGTGCTGAGCCTGAGCTCAGATCAGCTTATAAACACCACGCTGGTCACTGGGGACACAACGGGCTGGCTTGAGATCTGGGACATCTGTCACTACGCACTGGACATCCAACACGAGGTGAGTGTATGTCTTTGTGTTTGTGAGCTGGTGTTAATAAATAAAAGATGAAGTGTGTGCTGTACTGTACATCCCCAAATACCCGCAGTGTTCTCTCTCCACACAGCCAGTTTGTGAGCGGCCTCCTCTGCTGCAGCGTTGGAAGGCTCATGAGAGAGCATTAGTAAGCGTGGAAGTTCTCGAGGTGGCTGACCGTTTGTTCGTCCTCACAGCCTCAGCTGACGGCTCTGCTAGACTGTGGACAAAAGACGGAGACCACGTGGGGTCTTTCGGGCAGGAAAAGATGTGGAATATTAGTGAGCCAGCTACTTACCAGAGGTGAGGCTCATGAGCTGGTCTCTGTCACACTTGTATATCTCAAGAGTATTTCTCAAATAATAGGGAAAATAAAAAAAATAACAAAACAGTCATAGAGGGAGCTCAGAAACGGCAGTGCATCCATTACCAAATTATATTTAAATACATTAAACAAAATCTAGCAGGGAAACAAAAAATGCAGAAATTTGAAAAAAAATTCAATAGTGGCTAACTTTTCCTAATTTTCCAAACCCACTGAGGGTTAACAGATCGACTCTGTGTGTCGCTCAGTGTGCTAACTCTTCCGTGGTTGAGGCCATACGTGCTAAAAATGAATGCACACATGTTGCCCGTAAAGCATATTGGGTCATACTGTCCAAATTTTGAGGATGACGTGTGTAAACATGGCACCCTTTCTGGGAATTTATCATTAAATTCTGCCAATACATAGTAGCGTACATAGGGGATGTTCAAACAAGTACTGATGTCGACAGTGAATGGTTTGTGCCAAATCTAATATAGAGGAATACGTCATGGTTAAGTGCTTCCTCCAAGAGAAACTTCCCTCGTTGTTTCCACAGACATTTGAGTCCTTAATAGCAACTTCAGTTTGGTTAAAGGTCATAAACTCTGGCTTGGCCCAGGACTTTGCTGTGTGCTTGACTCTATTTTTGTCATATGTTGGGCAACATGAGCCATAAAGGAGAGAACGCTGTGAAGTAATTTAATTTAAGAGAGAAAAAAAAAAAGTGCAGTCCAGTGAAAGAGAGAGAGAGACAGAACATGCTTAGATACATGTGAGAGGAAGAGAGAAAAAGTTTTTGGTCTAAATGTCAATTATGTTCTTGCATCAACTTCTCCGCCCTGCTCTTCTCGCTCTCTGCCCCTGCGGCCTCTTGTTGGTCGATCATCCACAATGAGCAATGTATCTGCTGTGGCTCTTGCATCAGTGTTGCAGAATTCAGGCTGTTTTAGCCATGCCAGGGCCGTCGCTCCCGGGATGGCAATGCCGACCAAGTACTTCGAAAGCTACTGACATCCCCATCAGCCTCAGCTGTACTTTGTGTTTAGTGTTAATTAGCAAATGTTACGTAACACAAGCGTTTTAGCATTGTTGTTGTGAGCATGTTAGCATCCTGACATTAGCATTAGTCTCAAAGTCCTGTGCCTTATGCTGTTTTCCATTTGAACTGGGAAGTCGGAATTTATTATTTTCCAGTCGGAAATTTCAACAGGAAGCTCGCCTGAAAGTCACACGAACCCCCTCCAACCCCAACCCCAAAATCCAAGATGGCTGCTCCATGCATCAACACTAAAAAAGCTGTAGTAACATGCTCTTTATGTCTGACTTGTGTCTCATTAAATCAGTCATACATACAGAACTCCTATCTGTAAACATGTTGCATTTGGTGTTTGCATGTGCAGAATACCGGCGCACTGTGTTGTCATCAACTGGTATTGCTAACAATGGCGAAGCTGGCCTGAGCAAACCCCATCAAGTTTTCATGACACGTTGTACGGGAATGCAGACAGATTGGGTGTAACGTAAATGGAAGTACAGCCTAACAGAGCCTGTAGTATTTCTGTAGACTTGCCTTTTTTTGGCTATGCATTATCCAGTTTTTAGCCAAGCAGCATCAAAGAATTCCACATATGCAAAATGTTTCTAAATGTTGTCTTCAACAGAGAGGCTGCCAAACATTCACTTTTAAACTCTCCCTTTGCCACAAAAGGCTCGAACCACTCAGATCTTTTTTAAACAGTTAATCAGTGTAAGGTTTCATATGTTGAAATTATTATCTGTCAGTTTAAATTTACCCAAAGACAGTGCAATCTGTGACAAAATATCATCCAGCAGAGATCCCAGATCCTGTCTGGTTCAGTGACATGAACACAATTGGGAAACCTGCCTAAAGTAAACAGCTTTGTGTTTGCACAAGTCAATTCCTTCCAGCAAAGAGCAATAACTTTTGGTTCTGACATCCATAGGACGACACAAAAGACACTGAAAGAAGACACGAAGAAGATGACTGAAAGTGACGAGAAGGGGCTCAGCAGGGTCAAAAGTAAAGTACCTTGCCCCACCAGCAGAGGTCAAACTTCACAGGAGGAATGCTGTTCTGAAGGTAGTCATTTAGTTTAGTGCAAACAGGTGTTTTGAGGTGCTACACACACACACACACACACACAGACACACGTACATAGAGATGCCCTTTCCCTGAACCGGGCCATCTCCAGTCACATTTGGCTGTGCATTGGGAATGTCCCTTGACATAATTACCCCTTTCGTTAGAATCCCTCCACACATGGGTTCGGGTGTATGTAGCTGCTGCTGCAGAAGAGCGTACAGGTCTGGATGGCCTACCAAGCTAATTAAACCTGATACCATGATTAAATCACGTACAATCTCACCACATTATGAAGAGAAGAGCCAGAGCATTCTTCACATTCTTGTCCTGTGAGGTCTGGAGCTCAGATCGGTAACATTTGGGCAACATACTGCTCCAGAGACGCAAGGCAGATTGTTTAAAAAAACAAAAAAATGAAGTGCAGAAATGCTAAAAGTGTAAGTGTGTGTGTGTGTGTGTGTGTGAGTGTGTGTGTGTGTGTGTGTGTGCGCAAGATATTTCCTCTACTTTCCCTTCACTGCCTGCCCATTACTCAGAGCTTTCCAAAATAAGAAATTAGCTGTGCTTTCTCAGCAGCCACACCCAGACAGACATTGTTATGTACAATACAAACTAATCTTGTCTACTGTCATTCACTTTAGCTTCACCCATCAGTCTAGCAGAGAACGACCACGATCGACCTCAGCAGCACACGGTAACCCGCAAACACACAATCAGCGGCTGATGAGTGCAAACTTGTCATTCTCGTCTCATTTGTCTTCTTTCCTTCCCTCCGTGCATGCACATCCATCCACACGACCGTCATCTGTGTGTGTCAGTATCTGTGTGAGGACTCTTGCCAGACGGCAGCTTGGTGTCACGAGAGGAGACATCTGTTTGATGACATGTGCCACAACAAACACTGTTGATTGGCTGTTTTTGCCCCATCAGACTCTGCAGGTGACTTTCACACTGATTACTGGATCCTTTCCCTTCTCTCCTCCCGCCCGCTTTACCTGATCGTTAAGTTCTGCTGGTGCCCAGTGACTGTGAAAACAATTAATTCATCTAACTATTCCTAACTTTTTAGGAAAGAAAGCAAAATATAGTGCAAATGAACTAATCATACTGAAATAAATTTGGATGAGAGGATCAATACCACTGTTATGTTTGAACCGTAAATACGAAGCTTGGTTTTACTGTGGGGTTAGGCATCAGACTACTTCATTATTGTCTTGTCATCAATGGAAAGATGCTCTGCAAACAGCGAAGACACCCAGAGGTGCTGGTTTGTAGATGTTGTAACCTTTGGACAGAGCCAGGCTAGCTGTTTGCTAATGTTAGCAAACTTTAGATAGATCGAGCGAGTCAGTTTGCTGTCTAAGAAGCTCCATTTTAGCATTTCCCTTTTAGCATACCGATATACTGTTGAAGTGGCTTCTGTTTTGCAAAATGTACATAGTCTCTCTTTCATTTCCAAAATGCTCTGGTCTTTGCTACTGTCATTACTGATAGACATTGTTTTTTATTTTCAATGCATTATCTAAATACAAAATAGGTTTATGGACATCCAGTAGCAGCCAGCATAAAAATTCTGGTCAGCATACGCAACTAAAAAAGGCTTCATCAATTCTGGAGGAATGTGAGGGCGCAGTTCCACTTCCTTTCATCCCAGCTGTGGCTGTAGAGCTCCACGCTCAGGCTGAAGTTGTCCAGAAAAACAAAATTGATGGGAAGGGATACTGCAATTCTATTTTAGACAAATCTTACGGGGAAAAAACAGATTTATTTCATTTCAAACCTCTTTCTTTTCTTGTTTTATCTTAACTGAAATCTTTCTCCTGACCACTCCATCTGTTAAGCGCCATCATCATCTCTCTGTTTACTTCTCCTCACTGTGACTTTGTCCCTTGTATACTGTGTGTTGTGCTGCCACACTGTGCGTTTGTGGCCTGTGCATTGCTATAGCTGCCAATTTATGGTGACTGACCAGCTGAGAGTTCAGACAGGAAGTTCAAAAAATATTTCCATCGAATCATCTGACTGCTTTAGATGTTTGTTGAAGAATGTCAGAAATGCCTCCATGATCTGTAAACGCTGCTCCATCTTCATGAAAAGTGAGCTCCCTACCTCGTCAGATATAAACAAAGATGCAGACATGAATGCTGTTTTTCTGCCATGCTGTTTTTCATAAAGTCATGTTGAAACTGCATATTGAATATGTCTGTTTAAATATGTCATGTTAATACTGTGCTGGCAGTATTTCACCTTCAAAACAGCCTGCACCACATTGCATTTAGTTTTTTTCGTATTCTTTTTCAGTCATGCCAAACTCACATTTCCTGATGTGTGGTCCATCTCTTACTCATCTCTTCTTTAAAATAATGGTTATGCTGAGAGATGGATGAGAAGATTGATGAGAAGATTTAAATTACTCTCGTGTTTTTAGGCAAAATATGAGATATAGTCAGCAGTCAGTTTTTCTTAGCATAAAGACAGGAAATGGGGGAAACAGCAAGCCTGGCTCCATCAAAAGGAAAACAAATCTGCATACCAGCATCTCTAAAACTATTTCCACATTATTTCTTATTAGTTTAATCCTTACAAAAACTGAAGTGTAAAAATGACACGTCACGGTGTATTACCCCCTGCTTCAAGCTAAGCTAAGTTAACTGTGAGCTAACTGGCTATACCTGTTAGCTTCATACTTAGTGCTCTTTGCTATATCTTGGAGGGTGGCGCAGTCACTTCCTGGAGTCTCGATGTCACTATAAGGTTGCCTGGCACCCAGCAAAGACCCCAGGAAGTTACTGACCCCCTCCAGGAAATAGTCCCGCACATAATGTTATATTACCTTCTGACAGAGCTTAGCTAGCCCTTTCCCTGTTTCCAGTCTTTAGCCAGAGCTAAGCTAAGCTAAGGATATTCACCAAAAGGATGAACATACTGCTTTAAAAGTTGTGGCTATGCATCTTCACAATACCCTTATTGTTGTATTTCTTTCATCAGCCGTGTGAAATGTCCTAATATCTGAGACTTGTTTTGAGTCATTCAGACAGACATCTGAGCCATCTCCCCCATTTATCTCAACCCAACCCTGCACATGAATGCATAAGGGTCTGCTGAATTGCACAAATTGGTGACGCAAGACTCAATGCCCTATTTTTTGCTTGGTTTCTTTCCATACTCAATTTTGCAACTTCTTTGCAATGGCTTGGCTGCTCATCCTGAAAAAAACAGGTTATTTTAAGCACGTTTTAGCGTGGGAGGAAGTGAGCGCAGAGCCCTTTCTCCAGTTTGTTTCTCTGGGATAAATACAAACAGACACAGCCAGGACAAACAGGGCAAGTCAACTAGACTGCACTTTTGCCCCCCAGGCAAAATATAATATAAGACAACATAGCATTACTGATTACTGAGAAATGCCTTCTGTCTGCGGGGAGACAACAGATAGATTGGCATTTAGTGGTTACATGTTGAAATTGTTATCTTAACCATTTTTTGTGCAGAAGAATAAAAAGGAAAAAAGACATTCATACATTTGTTGTAATTTAGTTCTGGGATTTTTTTTTGCCGTTAAGTCAATCAAATATTCATCTTCGAGAGACCGTGAACAACTGACAGGAACTGAAAATGGAAAGCTCATTTAGTTGTGAAAAATGTGGCTTCTGCTGGTCTAAAAACAGATATTTTTTACATCATGCATTTGGGTCAAAACAACAACAAAAACGTCTCTCTCTCTGTTTTCGTAGCTGTGTTCTTCGAAAAGGCAGCAGTCACCCACTTAGCCCGTGTGTGTGTGTGTGGGTGCGTGTGTGTATCGAGGCAAAGCAGAAGCTCTTTTACAATCCGGCTAAATGGCAGGTTAAAGATTCCTTTCACTAATTTCCAACATCAGCAAAGACTTCTCTCAGCCCGTTCTCTCTTGAGAGAGGGTAAAACACCCTGGAGAACAACTCCCAGACACGCATGCGTAATTTTGCCAGACTCTCTCTCACACACACACACACACCCAAACAGACGACAGATGTTCCAAAATACCACAGTAACAACAGTGCAGATGCAGGCGGGGAAATGCCCTGTGAGATCTTCATTGCTTCAGTGTAAAGCTGCTTAGGGCTTTTAGAGGCATAATGGGCAACAAGCAGCAATCGTAATTTATACACTGTATGTTTTCACAGGAATCACAGAGGGAGAGAAAAGGTGGCCTGTGAACGAGGGGTTATTTCTTCCTGCGTGTTTCCTCATTTGAAGTTGTGCAAGAAGTTGTTTTTTAGTTTTGTTTCCAGCACTGCCTTTTCTGAATTTGCGTCTCTTCCGTAGACCAGCGTGACAGGAAGAAAAGCCAGGGATTCATGTGTGGGAACTGCAGCAGGAAGGAAAGTGCAGCTGGGAATTTTTGCCCGGAGCAAAAACAGACTGGACGTCTGTGGCGAAAAAAAGGTGAGAGAAAGAGAGGATAAGGAAGGAGAGAGGTAGAAAAGATGGCAGAGGAGCAAAGAGGGTGAGCGTTTGAAGCAGGGATGACATGAAGCATGGGATGATGGGAGGGGGAGAGAAGATTTGATGGAGTGAAAGAGGACTCTACTTAATGCGGAGGAGCGGAGGAGATGACAGAGGGAAGGGAGCCTCGTCTCCACGCCTTCTTGGGATGTCAAGGCAAGTCACACGCTCACGCAGACTTCACACACACTTTTACACCTGTATATCTACACGTGCACACTCACAATCCCCCTGCCAGAAAATTGGAGAGGAAGGCAGCCAACTTAAACACACACGCATGAATGAAAACTGGACTTGGACCTGCAGCTGTACACACACACACACACACACATGCATTGCATCAGAGTGGATACGCCAGTTGGATGGGGTTTCATTCAGATCTGCTGTGACAAGAAGAGGTTCACAGTCTCCACCCCTTCCTGCTCCCAAGGACTTTTGCTTCAGAGTGTGTGTGTTTTCTAAACCACGCTCACTTCCAATCTCCTAACCTGTCACTTGACGCTCGTGCACATACCTGCACACACACACACAGACGCACACTCTCGCTCTCTCGTCCCCAGAGCAGCAGGTCCCTGGAAGCAGCCAAACTGTCAGTGACTGTTGCAAACACATGCTCGCTCTCGGCTCGGCTCTTTCTTCAGACGCTGCCAAGGGAGGAGGAGGAGGAGGAGGAGGAGGAGGAGGAGGAGGAGAAGAAGTGAGGCTGGAAGGAACAGACTGAAACACACAGATAGAAAAGAGAAAGAGACAGACTTGGACCAACCTCTGCTTGGCTGACTGTGTGGGAGACTACAAGTGATGCCTTGCACTCTCTAAAGCAGCACATAGTTTTTTAGCTTTCTCTTTCTACATTTTCCCCCTCTCTGTTCAAATGATGAGGAGAGACCGTCTCTTCTTGGCCGCGACCCTCACAGCCATCTTCTCTGCTGACCTCTACTTTATCCTCCTGCCAAAGCTGCGGAGCGTGGGCCAAGGATCGGGACACTTTTGTCCATGCGGTCCCATCAACCTCACCCTTCCGAGGCACGGGGGTCTCGCCACCCCGCAACTCTCCAACTGGACTTCCGCGCCCCCCCTGGATGGTATCACATCTGAAGCCGCTGATGGGGGCTCAAAGCTGGGGAGGCTGTTTGCTCACCCTCTGTACAACATCCAGACTCCGGTGCCAGGCCCGGAGGAGAGGCTGCTGCAGGCGGAGCACCTGATGGAGCACTACAGGAGGAAGGTGTCACGCTGGGAAAGGTCAGTTTCTGGTGTCATTTACTTGATTTTAAAAGACACATTTCGGCATTGCTTATTTTGTCCACAGTGCATTGATTGTGCAATGGCTGAGAATTATCTAAACATGGCTTGTGTTGCTCAATGGCTCATTTTGGCTGACAGATCTCACTGTGTAAAGGACGCGTTGGGGCTTGACTGTGGTCACAGGGTAGGGTCACCGACATCACCACCTGCAGACGCGCACAAACACATATACAGATAACAGATGTACACCCACAGACAGACAACAGGATGTGTAGACAATTCTGTACGTCATAAAAGTGCAACGTCGAGTGGGCTGGTGGCAGAAAGCACTCACAAACATGTCATACGGAGAGCTCGCGTCTGGAATGCTCTCTTTAAGGTAAACAAGGATTTAAAACTGCTAAAGCCCATTCTAATCTGTGGGAGCTGAAGCCGTCTTGGCTTGTGAGGCTGTCTGTCTATCCCGACGCAGTGCACTCGCTCAGAGAGATACAGATTTTGGCCTCTCATGCTGGAAAATAAGAAGAAATATGAGCAACGGATCTCCTCTCTCTGCTGCCTTTTATAAATGTGCACCAAAACAATGGATAGCCCAAAGGCTTGTTGGAGACTTTGTATATCTTGCAACAGCATCTCAACACTGCAACAAACACATGTAGGAGAGCTTTTTGACTGCTCAAATGAACAGCGACGACAGCTTTTATTGTCATGCTGACAAAGGAAATGGGTTTAAAACACATTTCCTGCTCATGTGTGTTTGGCCAATGTTGCAAGAAACTACCACTGGAACATTCTCCACTTCCTCTTTCCTATTTTGTGTGTGTCTACACTAGTCTGGTCTGCTCTTGTCCATTGTCCTGATTACCTTGATCTTTCACTTCACCTCGCTGGGTGACTGATGGCTCATATTTATAGGTCTTTGCTTCATAATCTCGGCACTTTAAGCAGCCCGTGATGGAGTTTGTTTGGGTTGGGAGATGACCGTCCCACTCAGTGTGGTCAGCTCTGGCAATGTGGTGCCACTCTCACCACCGACTCTGTGGTGGTGAGAGTGTTTTTGGTCTCAGATTATTGTTGCTCTGGATTTAAGTATAGCAGAGAGGAGAGGAGGCTGTGGAAATTCAAAATGTTGGTACAACCACTGTTAAAAACAATAGAGAGCCCATAAGAGAACTAATAAAATGTCTATATTTGTAAGCAGAATTGGGCTACAGGAGGAGAGGGGCAAATAAAACAAGTTATAAAAGAGAGTGTGTCTAATAAATTCAACAAATGCCTGCAACCCCGTGTAGTCGCTCACATCTTCTTTCATTTTAAACACATTCTTGTGAATGCTGCTGCTGAGAAAACCTGTTGAGTGCACTTTGCCATGGATTTCTGGCACCAAGTACCACTCCAAATCTGTGGTCTTTCCAAAATAAACCACTGCCTTCACAAAATGTTGTAAGAAGTGATTCCCAAGCAGTGGATTCTTTTATTTAAAGCTTGGCAATCCGGGGTTTAGCAACAGCACAGCAAGAAAGCCTGGTCTCTTTCAGTGAGCTACTTTGTTGTTGTTTATGTAACATGGCATTCAAAAGCCCTCTGCAGCAAGAAAACGTATGATAACACGTATCCCGATCTATTTTTAATGAATTCATCCCCTATACAAGTAATCTCTGTGCTGCTTCTCACTCCTCAGACATATGAAACTCTACAGCGAGGCAGCGGCAATGTCCAACAACACCGTGACTGAACATGAAGTGACCTTTGACGCCGGCGCTAGCTGGCTGAAGTTCCACCTTGGAATAAACCGCTATGCTCTGTACTCCCGCCAAGACCGCGCCATCCCACAACTCCTCAAGGACATGCAGAGCATGACCGTCGTCAGCTCAGGTGATGGATGGATAGTTGGGATTTAAAACATATGCTTGTCAGTGTAAAAAGATTTGGGATTGCTTGTAATTAGTTGTCACCATTTGGTTTTCTGATTTAGTGAATGCTGGATTATAGAGGCTCTTAGAGATGCTAATATTCTGGCTATGTGCCCAAACTCTTGTTGCGACAAATCGTTAATGTTAAAATGCTACATGTGACACTGTAATGCTAAATTATGAGCTAACAAACCTTTATCTCTTACAGATTACACTCAAGATGAGAAGGCCCTAAAAGGAGCATGTGATTGTACCAAAGGTATGGTCAATTAAGCTTCTATATTTGTTTGGGTTTTGATATTCTTTGTTTTAGATGTCTGACTAGCCCCTTTGTTTCTCTCTCCATGTCTCTCGCTGTGCTTGGCGGTACCGTCGGAGACAAACACACTGCTGCCTTTGTGATAGCGAAAATTCAGTTTTTTCCGTTTGGTGTCAAAATCCAGATTTGTCTGTCTGTCTGTGTAAGACACTTGCTCTGGGGCAAAAAGGCAGGCGTGTGTTTGTGTTCAAAGGCAGAGCTCTTAATTACAGTAAATGTTTGATGTCTGCGCGCTCTGAGGGAAGCCAACGTTTGCAGGCTTCAACCTACACACCAGCCGCCACCTACGCTGTCCTCTCCTACCTCGGAACAGCACGCAAGCCAAATATGCAAATGAGTGGATGGATTATTGAAAAATGTACAGACAAAGTCACTTTGAATGTATGTTATTTTAGCAAAAACTAGCATGTATGGGGAGTGGAGTAATGATGTAGCTTTCTGTTTGGACCCAAAGTATGTGAAGAGGCTGTATCATACGTTTTAGGTAGGTATGAACATTAAAGCAAAGTTGTACGGCAAAAAAAGAGTTTTAATTGTTCAGTATTTTCAGACAGTATTCTTGTATATACTGCTTTGTGTCCTGTCTGTGCTTGACCAGCACAGTTATGTGGCCGACCACACAAACATCATTCACTGCCAAGAAGAAAT